GCATGGGACGGCCAATGAACGCGAGATCAAAACTGGTCCCTCCGCGGTGATATTCCCTATAGCAATGCGCACATTTACTCGCCACAAAATACCCATGCTACCCCCATTCGCAGCAACGCATGCGTCGTTAGCCGGTCGGATCCGCGACGTAGGAATGGACAGGAGATGAAAAATAACATCAGAAATGATGGTTGCAGACGCGCCGGTGTCCACCAAAATACGGACATCGATCCCATCGATGGTACCCCGTACCGTCGAGGACCCCGACGCGGCTGCCACCACCCTTCGAGCCAATTTTTTCCATTATGTAACTGAGTGTGGCATCGACCCAGGTGACCCAAAATTCCCTTCAGGAGTGCAAACATGGGTGCGAGTGGATGCGTGATGTGTCAAGACCTGCCGGGTGTCCGATATGTGCCGACTTGCCCGAGGGTGCCGTGGATGCACGTCCGGTGGAGGAGATGGAAGTCGGCCCGACGGGAGCTGAGGAGGTTAAAGTCGGCAGCGGCAATTCCGGGCGAAATGGCCTCGTCGACCACACTTGAAACACGTGGCAGCCGCCGCCCGGCGGTCGGTCGCCCCGGTCCCCCGCTCGTGGTCGTCCGGCCCCATCACGCTGCTCGCGTGGCCGGCATTTTGGAACCCAGCGAGGAACAGCAGCCATCACCTCGTTGTCGCTGGAGTCGTTGGAGCCGTGGACGACCCGATGTGGAGCCCATCCCAACGGTGGCCCGTCTATCTCAAGATCTCCTGTCCATGCAGTCATCTGATCTCAGCGTTTGAGGTTGAACTTGGCATCCAAACAGCGCGCCGCCCATCGAGACGTTAGCGGTTCATGGCCGCACACCGGTAATGAGATGTTAAGTTCCTGGGCCAACTCAATCATTTTGGAAAGGATGAGAGGATCCAGGAGATCGGCTGACGAATCGGGGTAGGCGGCCATGGCAAGCGCCAACAGCGCCCCTCGGTAGGCCAAGGGCGAGTCTTCCGCTCCTCGATGGCGCTGCATGAATTTCCTGGTAGCCGCCATTGGCGGCTCGTAGAACTCCGCCATTTCCGTGAAAGCGTCACGCAGCGTCTTTTTCTTACTCGCCGGGATGGATCGGAAGACTGCCAAGGAAACATCGTCCAACAGCGTGGACAGAGCCTCCAGCGCCTCTGCCTCCGTCCATCGCACCGACCGAAAGACTGACTCGAACCGCCACGTGAACGCGCTCCAGTCGCCCCCGGCGACAAATTCTTTAATTTGAGAAAGACGATGGCCGCGGTGAATATCCGAGGCCTCAGGCGTCTCCGATCCCACTCCCCGCGTAGCACGTGGCTCCGTTAAGATGTCGTCCGGCGGCCGCGTGGCGGCTGCCCCGCCCAAGATGACGTCCGGCGGCCGCATGGCAGCAGCCCCGCCCAAGATGGAGGCCTCCCCCTTCGTGGCAGGAGTAATGGCGGACGGCGTTTCCCGCTGAAGATCTTGGTCATCGGCCCTTGGGTGAGTTCCACGCGGCCGACCGAGGGCCGCTGATGACGTGACCGCCATTACAAGATTTAGCAGGATCGCACGGAGTGACTCTATCTGCTCCGCCACCCCTCGTCCGCAGCCGGAGACGTCGTCTCGCCGGCCTGTCGTCGATGCGCGGCGTCGGGGAGAGTGGCAGACGGCAGTAGAGGACCCGTGGCTCCCAGCAGCTCGTCCTCGTCCGCCTCGACATCTTCCTCCGACGGAGGGTCCGGTGGGTTTCTTTTCTTGAGGTGCTTGGACATTTTCTAATAATCGTCTAAACGGTCTCAAGAGACACTTCTGACACCAATGTAGCAAAGGTCGTGGAAGCGACTTCTGGAATCCGGTCTTTATTTGTCTTTCTTTACAACACTCCTTCACGCTGCTGACAGACAGCGTGAGAGGGATAAAGAGAGAGAGACACGCGCGGCCACGTGGCAGCCTGGACACCCGCTCCCGCGTGGCCTCTCACTCCATTCGTTCCAGTTCTGACCACGTGTTGTTCGTCTCTACCCCTATTTAATACCCGGGTCACGTGGTACCTTTCCACCAATCCTGGTTAGCCTCTATGGAATCTTCTACACTCCATCGTAGGCTCCTGGGAACACGCCCCTGACTCGTCTCCCCATTGGCTGTGGCTAAAGCCAGCAGAACCAATCCTCTACTTACAGATGTCACCTTCCCATTACGTCAGGGCCATGCCCCTAGGCTTCCCCCCATTGGCTATGGACCAGGACCGGCAGAGCCAATCATCGTGACGAGTTGTAATCAGTCAGCAACCTGGATATATTTTATGCAGGAAATTAGTTTTCAAATTTAGATAAACGCTTGTTTCTAAATGTGGAGGAAAAATCTGGAGGACCTGGATGCAAAACTACGCGACCATGGGGAGAACATGCAAACTCCAAATATACAGCAGGCGTCAGGATTGGGATCGAATGCACGACCTCCTGTATACCAGGCGAGGGTAGTGAATATCTCGCCACCGTGGCGCCCCTTATCACGAGCCACATAACCTTCTCATGATTTGTCCCATCATCATCAGACCCATCATAATGTGTGAATTATTTACGTTCATGGCGGGAGTTGGATCAGATTTGAGCAGCTCATCGCGTGAGTTGCTCACTGCCCACCTCTGTGAAAGGAAATAAATGCTCAGCTGCGGCTCAACTTTAGCACAAGCACTCTGAGCCAGTGGTGGAAATTCGTCATTCCTATGTCGAGGCAAGTCTATTCATAGGACAACTGTATTAACCCAGGAGGGATGATTCTATTCTTGTGTGTGGCAATATGTCCAGGACCTACATTAAATGTCGATGTCTGCTCGCCACAAGAGGGCTTCAGAGAGGGTCTGTGTAGTTATTCCTTTTCTTCCTCTTTTGAAGGAGTGCAGACGACTTACTATATGGCTTATAGTTTGGGTTGCATGGCCAAAGTCGCACTGTGCCTTGTGTCTTTAACTTTCCATTCATGAAGGAGATGTGCGAATCAGCCTGTTGATGTTTTGATGCGGTTGATGATTTCACCAGTGGTGAGTGGGTGGGCGAGTGGGTTGGTGAGTAGGTGCGTGAATGATTAGGTGAACGAGTTGATGGTTTCACCAGTGTATTCGAGGAGGAATGTCGAAGCCAGGAAGTGGGTGTGAAATGAGGCGTTTATTCTGGATGATCGACATTGTTCCGCTTTGTTTCGCCAGAGTTCTTCTGGATCTGGGTAAGATTCCATGATGGTGACAGCAGCGTGATCCCAGAAGGGGGATCAGGGCTTGAGTAGTCGGCGGTGAGGAACATTGCTGAGGCCTTGGATGATGGGTAGATGGTTATCGTTGGCTAGAACACGTGTCAACTCCCACGCAGTTTGCGTGTCTTTGCAGATATGTGGTGGCAGAAGGTACACCAGAACAGGAAACCAGGGGATTGATTGGTGTCAGTTTCAGTGTTCCGGTTATGATATTGCAATTTTCAATTATGCATCTTGCAGTTTTGTGTATGAGGTCCTGGACTGGGCCACTGAGTAGATCAGTGAGAGTAAGGATGGGCTCAGTCAACACCCAACCACCTAGCCAATAATACAAACATAAATTAAACACATTGGCTTTTGCGATTAAAACTATCATGATTGATTTTGCGGACAGATCGCCGCTTGAGCAAAATGCCAATGTGTGTCATACACCCACCTCCACCAGACACAGCTACACAAAGTTGGGACGTGAACAAACGCGACAATGTTCAACGTCGTACCCAAATTGTAAGAACTTGTGATGGGATCGCTCTCCAACACACCGTTGCACTAAAGCAATAGCAACCGACGCGTTTGTTAACGTGGCAACTTTGTTTATTTGGCTGTTGGATAGGGGAGGGCGTAGGACACACTTTGACATTTTGCTCACGCGGTGATCTGACCTTTAGAGTCAATAATGAATCGTATATACATGGACAGTACAATCAAAGTGAACAATGTAGGAGCGCGTCACGGAGCAGAGGGCTGAAGGAGTGGCGTGGTGGCTAGGAGATGTTAACTACCTCGCCTGGTGTGGAGGAGGTCGTGGGTTTGTTGTCCACCCTGACGCCTGCTGCTGCTGGATATTTGGAGTTTGCGTCTCTCTCTCTCCGTAGTCGCGTGGATTTTTCTCGGGGTCCTCTGGTTTTCCTCTACATTTAGAATCGACATCACCACGCATTTAGAGTATTTGGCTGCTGCTGTACATTTCCACGCGATAATAAGCCACTTCGCTGAGCTACCGTTTGTGTGATTGGCAGGTCGCTTCTAAAATAAGTAATATTTAAACAGCTTTAATTAAATGCACCCTACTAGTAATGGAAGAACTGCAAGACTCCAGGAAGTGGCCACGAAGCTTGCCATAACGTAAGGGACCATGGACAATTAGACCCAAGCCGAAACATAACATGTACATTAAAAATATATATATTTATGATAGAATATAGTATTGTCATCAGTATGACATAAGTATACCAAGTTTGCCGTCGATACCACATTGGGAAGTGGGTTAAAATTGAGTTACAAGATTTGAGAATACAACAACAGAGTGAGTTGAATAAAAGCGTGTAAAACAGCTACATCGTTCAATGGGCGTTCTTTACCGTGTAAAATAAAAGTATTGTATTCATGGTTTAAATGACTGCACCGCATAAAAACGTCAAATTAAATGTGGGTGTGCACCTTACCACGTGGGCCTTAGCTGGTTAAAATTAACAATAGTTTAGTTTGACGAGTTTGTTTAGTTTTGATTTAAAGCTTTCGTGACTGCAGGGATTCATGTGCTTGGTTCTTTCGGTAAAGTCACGTAGAAGGGAGAATTGTTTTATTTTTATTATTTTATTATTTCCCTTCTACGTGACTTTACCGAAAAAACCCAGAATATGAGTTAATGAGTTTGTTTTTGTTTAATGTAGAGTCGTCGTCTCCATGGCGACCCCGCCCGCTGTGACGGCTGCGGGGGGGCGACCCGGAAGTGACGAGTCGCGAGGTCGCGACGCTTTGCCGGAGCGCGACGGTCGCCATGGAGACGCGTGGCGCCGTCTCCATTGCAGCAGCAGCAGCGGCAGCACGGGGTGGTAACACGGCGCAGCGTGACACCACAATAGTGTGACACAACAACAACAACACAGTGTGACACAACAACAACAACACAGTGTGACACAACAACAACACAGCGTGACACAACAGTGTGACACCACAACAACACAGTGACACAACAGCGTGACACCACAACAACACAGTGACACAACACAGCGTGACACTACAGCGACACCACAACACAGTGTGGTGACACAACAACACAGTGTGACACAACAACAACACAGCGTGACACCACAGCGACACCACAACACAGCGTGACACCACACAGTGTGGTGACACAACAACAACAACACAGTGTGACACAACAACAACACAGCGTGACACCACAGCGACACCGCAACACAGCGTGACACCACACAGTGTGGTGACACAACAACAACAACACAGTGTGACACAACAACAACACAGTGTGACACAACAATAACACTGACACAACAACAACAGGAGGTTTGTTGAGCCCGTGGGTGGCGTCCCGTCGTCCCACGGGATCGTTCCGCTGGCGTAGCCACGAAAGCCTCACCGAGTCTCAAGACGCTTTTATTCAGAGGCGGGTCCTGTCGAGTTTTCGCAGGAGGGCGGTGGGGCGATGTGGCCGTGTGGAATCCCAATCAAGTAATTGATTGGGATTCCACATTATTGCGGGTTGTTTAGTTTTGGGAGAAAACCGGAGCACCCGGAAGAAAACTCGTGCAGAACATGGGGAGAAAATACAAAGCCACAAAAGCAGATCATTTCTCTCTCACCTGATGACGGACGCTTGTGTTGCGACCGAAACGTCGTGTTCTTTTTGTTATTTCTTCTACCTACGTGACTTGACCGAAATAACCAGAGAATGGATTCCTGCAGGCGCCCGGGTGAAGATCGAACCCAGAATTTCTTGCTGCGAGGCGCAAGTGTTACCATTGTGCACCACTATAGGAGTAGGTGACATAGGCGGGTGGGTGGCGCCACTGAAATTCAGTTCAGAAACTTCCTGCGGTGCCCCCGCTGCTTGAGAATGAGTTGAGTGCACATCGGTGTTGGTGTGTTGTTGTTGTGTCAAGCTCGAGGAGAGATGAAGGCGTATCTGAAGGGAGCAAATGGGATGCTGCCTCTCTCGCAGAAGCCCATCGGAGTGGGCAGTGGTGCTGACTGCCAGCTCCACATACAGGTACATATCCGAGCTCCGTACACGAATGCTCGACTTCGTTTCAAACTCATTTACCCAGGTATTCATCACGTATTGATCCCTGCAGCCATGTTGAGGACTCGCTCCACCTGGCTCATTCATCTCATCCGCATTGTGTTAACCACCATACTCCAGGTCAACACTTTTCTTTCGTTTTTCCAAATTTTGAATTTCTTCCCATTGTCTTTTATTCCCAAGCTGTTATAAATTCCTTAATTCAACTAATGTGTTAACTCCATGGTGGCGAGATGTTAACTTCCTCACCCAGTCTTCTTGGTTCTTTCGGTAAAGTCACGTAGAAGGGAAATAATAAAATAATACAAATTAAACGTCTTTCCGACAGACCTGTTCTTCACCTGAGGACGGCTGCTTGTGTTGTGGCCGAAACGTCGTGAGAATTATTTCATTGTTTTATTTTTATTATTTTATTAATTCCCTTCCACGTGACTTTACCGAAAGAACCAAGAAGATGAATCCCTGCAGTCACAAAAGCTTTAAATCGAAATTTTTCCACACCCAGTATTCAGGAGATCGTGGGTGCGATTCCAACCCTACCGCATGTATATTTAGAGTTTGCATGTCTCTGTCCCTATGGTTGCGTGGATTTTTCTCCGGGCCCTCCGGGTTGTCCCTCCACGTTTAGAAAATGCCTTTAGAGTATTTGGCTGCTATACATTTACACATGATTAGCCACTTCATTGAGCTATCATATGTGGCCAGGTCGCTTCTGAAAAATAGATATAAAGCTCAGTGGTCCTCACCGCAAGTGTTGTAGTTAATGCAAACATGATCCCTTGTATAAAGCTGTCAGTTTTGTTGCCAGTTAAAGGGTAAGAACCTATTACTATATCTTGCTACTGGCAAAGGAGGTCTCATAATGGGCCTCACCTGGTAAAATAAAAGTAGTTTCGTAAAATAAAACTAGTATGTTACAACTTTGATAGTGTTATTTTTAGACGTAAAACTTTTGTGACTGCAGGAATTCATATTCTTCGGTAAAGCCACATAAATAGAAAACAAAAAATCAAAAAATGAAAATTAAATTAAAATAATGAGATACATTAGCGCGTTGCAACTCGTGTTGCTTGCACAGCTCTTTCACCCGCCCACTCACTTTGGAACCCGTATAAGCAGCTACATTTGTCTCCTCTTTTCTCTCCGCCTGATGAAGACCGCTTGTGTTGCGATCGAAACGTCATGGGTCTTTTGCTTTTATTTTTAAAATTTTATTATTTTTAGTTTATCTTATTATTTTTTATTTTATTTTTGGATTTTTTGTTTTCTATTTACGTGATTTTACCAAAAGAACCAAGAATTTGATAGTGCTGTCCGTTGCTGGCCGTTTGACGTTTCGGACCTCTGGGCCTGTGCTAAGCAACTGTGCAAAAACATGATCTATCAGTGGGACACCAGTGCTAACTCCAATGCTCTGCCACCACGAACATGTCTTGCCCAGCTTTATTGGGTTATCTCTCCTCTTCTTGGTTCTTTCGGTAAAGTCACGTAGAAGGGAAGTAATAAAATAATAAAAATAAAACATAATTAAATAATTCTCACGACGTTTCGGTCACAAAGCAAGCAGCCGTCCTCAGGTGAAGAACAGTTCTGTCGAGAAGACAGAGTCTGAATGACAACCCCAGGCTTGGAGCATCTCTGTCACTGAGCACGTGTGGGATGAATGAACCTCTTAGTCGTAGCTGGACAGTTTCTTGGCGACCAGCTAGATTTGTGTGGATGGCTGTGGCCAGACAAAAGCGTTTCAAACAGCAGGGGGCAGCTTAACAAGCTGCTGGTGGAGTGAAGCCACGATGCCTGTCCGATGCGGCGAGTGGGGCGGGCGGCGTCTGTCTTTTGTGGCGCAGGGCTGCGACGACACAGAGGATCGCCATGCTCTGCTGAGGTTCAGCGCGGCAGATGGCTGCTTCGTTCTGCAAGACCTCAACTCCGCCAACGGGACGTACGTGAACGGCTGCCGTGTGCAGAACGCCACTGTGCGCCTGGCTCCCGGAGACACCATCCGCTTCGGGGGCTCCCCTCACTCCTACTCCCTGGAAGTCCCTGCAGAGCCACAGGTACCGCTCACTTTCACGTGCTCGTAGCAGACCGAGCTACGCATACGGATAACAGACTCTGAGCGCAAGGCACCACCGACGTGTCACAGGTATGCGTGACAAATAGCGGCGAAGCACGCTGTGTTCTACAGAATTATGCAATGCATACAGGAACACGACGTACGCAATTGTAAAATGTCCACGCCTATGACCAATGCTCACGATATTGTAATGTCTCAGAAGCTAAGCATGGTTGAGCCATGATATTACTCAGATGGGTGACCACCATACATAACAGCTATTATAGGATGTATGTATGTTGAACTTCTTCTGCACAGTACATAGCCAACCGTGATAATCAAAGGATGTGGGGGCTTACGTAGTGGGCATTGCGGCAAAATCCATTGTTGTACTGTTCTGTGCTATGAAATATATGCTGCCCACCTTCACCAACATAATCTAACCAGTATTGTGAAGTATAGTCATATAGCCCCATGACCTACACATCGTAGGGAGGTGCTATTCCAGCAGTGGATCAACCAAGGGCTATATATGTGCATATACTTAGATAGGTGTCCTTAAGCCATGCATGTATGCTTTACATGCAAAACTCACACAACCAACACAATCTCTTTCCGTGACACGATTAAAAAATCTACATTAAATCTGAGTGGTTAGTCTTTTAAAATCATTCTACATGCAGGTGGCTAAAGTCAAGGCTTAAATTAAGGAAGGGGTACCTGGAGGTGAGCTTTACTAGGATACCTGTTTGTAGGAGAAGGAATTGGTGAAGTTGGACAAGAGATCAGAGATGGTCACGTTATGGAGGCTGTGTCCTTCAGATGTCAAATGTTGAATGGCTCGGTTAATGAGGTTGGCAATGTTTGCTTTGCCTGTCTGCCAGTCGTCTCTGAGTCTCACCATGTACATGGCAGGGTGTTTTATATGTGAGATGCAACACACCTCATTGGGTGTGGAGGATATAATATAATTATGAGAATGATTAATGATAGAACAAATAAGAACTCTTCACAACGTATATTCTAGTAACTGATGAAATAATGAGTGACGTGTTGTGTGTGTGTTTATTTATTCTCATAAGTGGATGACTAATGTGTCAGGTGGATTCTTGTAAGTGAAGAATGTGCGATGTGCAGAGCTTACTGTCGCCAGGTGTAGTGATGAGTAATGCCGCACGTGTGCAGGTGTGTTGCCCTCCAGTGGGCCACAAGCAAGCCTGGTCTGGGCCCATTACTGTGCTGCAGGAGGCTCCAAGTAGTCCTGTGACTCACCCTCCTCTACCAGTACTCGGCAGTCCTGCAGCTAGTACGCACCTACTACCAGCATCTTCAGCATCGCACACGCACCACCACCTTCTAGGCAGAGTATTCAATCACGCCTTTACTATGCTCATTGCTGGCCTGTGGAACACTGAAAAATAAATTGTTACCAGATGTACATTGGAAAATCTCAAAAACTTAACATTTACAGGAGATTAGCTGCTTTCACTTACTATCTTCATGACAATTGTATTGATGGAATTGGGCAGAAGCTGAGCAGAGCAATGTGTAAGAGTAATAGTATGCACACTAGTTTTTTTCTAAAGCGCAAAAAGCACGATTATAGCCTTAGGATATTGGTGCTGCCATTATGCCTTGCATGTCACGTGGTATCACCATACTGCGTGTAGGATACAGACAGCTATGTTTTAAAATGCACTCTTTTGAGTTGATACTCTCAAACAATGCTTTTTGCATTATATGTTCAGTATGATGATCTCACATGGCACGCTAGGCATGATGAGAAGACTGATGTTACAGTTAAAGTTGCTCTTTTTGCTGTCTATAGATCACTTTTTGCATGTATAATTATTACTATCTGTTCCAACCTTGCATGCACTTTTTTGTCTGATAAGTTTGTCATCTTGACAGAGAGTGCTTGAAGCGGTTTAAATATCTCTGTGGTTTGTAAACACGGATTCTTTCAGATAGTGCCGACACCAGAAGCAACCCCTGGTCTCAGTGGAATCGTGGATCAGGAATTCCTCACCCACCACAGAAGCCTCGACCCCACAGCGCAGGCAGCCGGAGGCTAAGCTCCTCCATCCACAGCCCGACGGCTACTGCGCCAGAGGGTGAGTCACACGGAGCCACGGCTGCCAGGAGGATGAATGATAATAAAAGAGTCAGGTCTGGCACCTCATTGGTATGTTGGCAGAAAGCCACAATTTGTAACGTTTTGGTGGAGAAATGAAAAGTTTAAATGTTTCCAAACAACTGCACATCAAAATGGTTCCGTGAAGAAATTTTTTAAACTCACCTTTCCACTGCAGAAACAGACAGGACAAGACTGAGGTTAGGCCTGGGTTCGTAAGGGTCCGAATTTCCTTTGGTTCATCAGCTGTGTGTTTTTCTCTACATTCACATTCAGTCGTTTGCCTGTGCAGACAAGTTCCATGGAATTGGTACGGTCAATTTTGCCTGCTACACTGGGTTTTACATAACTAAGCGTATATATTAGATCCTGTTCTGATGTGTACAACGAAGCACGGAGACACTGTCTGACCCAAACATTGTCTTAACAATCATCTTATTGTTTGACTCATACAGGAATGGGTAAAGGTTGTAAGTTGGTACATTGGGAGCATTTGAAAGTAGATCCATGTTCTTGTAACAATTTCATGTTAACCCTTTCCCGTTCCAAGACGTCTGCAAGGTGTGCGGTGGCGTAGCGCCGTTGTTTTTAAAGACATTGTACTCACCGCAGCGAACTTTCGCGACACGATCGCTGGTGCCAAACTGTGCCACACGCTCTCCCGCACGGCATTGTGGGAGCCTTAGTATATCTTCCGACCTGAAGACGAACGGATAACGTTTTTTTATTTTAGTTTTAGAAAAAGGGAAAGTTAATTGAGCAAGCATTAAGATGCTGGCTGTAGCTGCAGTCGGAGTGCATTGCTGCGTATACTTGAGACTTACAGTTGTGTTCCTACAACTATATTTGCAGACAACTGGAGCCACTGTGACGGATACAGCCGAGTAAACGGCGATCCCGTCGCCATCCAGTGCAGCTCGGAGGCACTTTTGCAACAGAAGGTTGGGGCCATTTTTTTACATTGCTTAATTAAGTATAAGTTTGGTTTACAAACACTGTGTATAGACAAATTGGATTTTGATTCATATTATGAACCACACCCAGCATACACTATGGATGTTTTCAATTCACCATGTCAGTGGCCACATAGTCCAAAAAAAACACTCAAAAAAATGTGTATTGGCATCGGTGGATGTCACTGCATATCGTGTGAAGCCGGCCTGTGTGAGGCACGACACACGCCGCTGACACCATCTACAGCACTGTAGTGGGAAGGCTGTACCGGCCCTAGTGGGGGGCCGGTTGGGATCGCCAATCGAGGATGGATGGCACTGCACTTCACGTGCAGTGCCAGCCTCTGGAGGTTAGGGGGCGATAGTGCCAGGGACGGTGCAGGGGTTCACAGGGGGCCATGGCACTCCGTATGAACCCGGAGGCCTAGTGACCAGAGGTACCGGCCAAGGGGCCCCAAAAGAGGATTCGTTAGCCCGGAGGGACTACCTCCTTAGGTTACCTGGTGGAAGGGGCAGATACCCCTTTGTGTTAGGGCTTTTGTTATTGTTATAATAAACGTGTTGCCTCCAGAGAAGTCTCACTACAAATGTAAACAAATCGAGTCAAGTGTGGGAGGATGTACCAAGACAGCGCGTGGCTGCATCTACCCTCTGGCACCACAACCCCTTGGGTCCCTCTTGACAGTCGCAGTTGATGTGATACAGCCACGTGGCCACAAGGCAGTGGCCGCCCCCAACCTCCTTCCGCCACCCACGACGAGGTTTTCTAGTTCTCTAGTTCTGAGAGTGGGCAGGCTCAGCCAGCGGAAAGTGAGGAGCCACACGTTAAACCTGCTGTAGTAGGCGTTCCCATATAAACACATTAAATACTGTCAACACTTTAGATGAAATCAACTTTTTTTTAAAAATCCCATTCTTGTACTCTACTTCTATGAACCCAGATCAGATAATCTCTAAGACGCACATGGCGTGTCACAGCGCTGATCCTGCAGCAGATTGACAGGGGCTGTACACGTTCATGCTAGATTAAAAACTAATTTCTTTAAAACTGCTTTTTGTATTTAGTTTATTGTACTCCCCCCACACCTCCAATTATCACGGCTGGCTACATACGGTGCGAAAGAATTTCAACAACATACGTGCCCACTTATGCATCCACACATCATCTCGAGATAATGTGTTTTGTATATTTTCGTGTGTGTTTATAGACATGCCGTAAAACCAAATTGCAATGTCACATGCAATTCATGAGATGGCTGGCATACCTGCGCAGTAGCCTAACAGGGTCCTGGATGTGCCACCCTGCAGGAGCAGCAGCTGCTAAAGCTGGGAGATGAGGTGAAGCGCCTGCTTGTGTTTGAGGCTGAGTCAAAGCGTAAAGATTTGGTCATCTCGACCCTGAGGGATGAGACGGGGGCACTGAGACAGCAGCTGACACAGAAAGAGTTGTGGGCAGCTGAAAGGGATGGCACGCGACCGGCCCTGGAGAGAGAGCTCCACAACAGGACGCAGGAGGTCAGAGTCCTGCGGGAGCAGGTAACTCGGATACATCTCCAGTGATGATACATATGGAACAAGAGATACATATATCGTTATGGCATGTTAACTAACGAATTAACTATTTTTTTATTTTACCAGGTAAGGCCTACTGAGCTATTTAGCTCTTTTTCAGAAGTGACCCTACCACAAATGATAGCTCAACGAAGTTAAATATAAGACAGCCAAATACTTGCACGTTGAGTCTAAACGTGGAGGCAAAAACCCGGAGGACCTGGAGAAAAATCCACGCGACCACGGGGAGAACATGCAAACTCCAAATATACAGCAGGTGTTAGGGTCGGGATCGAATGGATCTTGTCACCGTATTATTGAGCACCAAAAGAGTGCAAGCCCCAGAACGTGTGCATGGCTGCAGTGCGTGTGCGGGTACCCCCAAGCATGACCACAAAGCCCGTGACCGAATCACTCCGAATGCGCCCAATCTCATCCGATCTCGGGAAAACCTTGAAATGTAAACATCTCAACAAGGCAACAATCTGGTGAACTGCTTGGATCCAGCAGAGTGACCCGAGGGTCATAATGTGAGAACATTGAGAAGATAATAAACATATCAATAGGCACATGTGTATGTACTGTATTGATAATTATTTACTTTGGGATGTTCATGTGTACAGCCCTTGTGCGGGTCTTGCAGTTAATTGACCATAATTCACCACGCTGATCAGTGCGAGTTGGTGAAGGTAGGGAGCATAGATGTTGGAGCATACATTACAACAATGGAGTTTTCTGTACTGTCATCTGCTGCCCACCATGCAGCCTTGCAGCAGCCTATAAAAATCTGTTGTGCATTGTGTTTGGCCATCCAAGTACTATCCACGCTCAACTCTGCTAATCTGAGATTTGATGAGATCGGGTGGATTCTGGGTAAGTTAAGGATAGGTGTCTATGTTGTACAGTGGTCTCTCGGTTTACGATGCCATTGATTAACAATATTTCGATTAGCGATCCGCCTCCTATAGGATCCCCCCATTGTTTCTATTAACGATACATTTTCGATTAACAATATGTTTACGATATCACGCGGTTCCTGCCAATTTCGGTAAATCGGAGCGAAATAAAAAATAGTTAACAGCACTCCTAAGAGGACCCAGCAGACCTCAAACAATAAGCGACCCGCCATTTTATGAGCGTTTTGAGAGCAACTGGCTTTCAGATTTTCAATGTTTGATGTGCGTTGCTTATGGAAACAGCTTTATTGAATACTTAGTGTATTTTTTACTTAAAAGTTAAATAAGATCAATAAGAAATGCCCCTACATTGAATGTGGAGAAAGCCTAATGTAAGAATTTTTATTTTATGCTCTTTTTATGCACCTTTTTATGCTCTTTTTATTCATTATTAACCCGTGCTTCTAATTACGTTAATGCTTTAATATGTTCTTATAACGTTTATTTATTAAAATAGCGTCGTTTAATATTATAAACTATGTTTTTAGGATGAAAAAGGTCCACTTCCGATCGTCTTTGAACAAATTGAGTCTTGAACATGTATTTCCTATATTCGATTAATGATCATTTCAATTAACGATGGTTTTTGTGGAACCAATTAATATCGTTAACCGAGGGACCACTATATATGAATGTGTTTTTCCTTTGTCCATACACGTTTGAACCTACAACAACGGTGATGTTGCAGCTGAACAGGCTTGAGGTGGGCTCTAGCGAGGTGCTGAATCACACGGCGAGAGAACGCGATGTGGACGTTGCTCATCTGAAGACTGAGCTGGACAAGGCTTGCAGAGACCTGGCACTGGCCAAAGGTGCGGGGGTGTGTGGGGAGTGGCATGACGCTACTGGGCAGTTGGGAGATAGTCGCCCTCCAACAGCAGCAGAGGGCAGAGGAGTGACACTCACAACAATGAGCGGAGCGACTAAACCAGAGCAAGTTGGCACCATAGAGGGCACCGGTTGTGCATCTGCCAGTCAAATCAGTCAACCAATTGCACCTGGGTCTGTCCCGTGAACTTCTGCCAGCGAGCCTCTGGCACAGCACGTGGCCTCAAAGTGCACCTAGTCTGGCACAAGCACCGTGGTGATGTCACCGACCACTTAGTGGCGAATGACGGTTGTTGTTTTTTGGGAACGGTAGTGTAGTGGTGAGCGCACTGTGCTATGAACCTGGCGACCCGAGTTCGATTTCTGCTCCTGACCAATAACAGTGGTGAATATTTGAACCAGTCATGGGCATCCCCTAAGTCGACTCAGCCTCAAAAAATGGGTGTGATGTGTAAACACCATCACTGGAGAGACAAAGGCGGCCGGGCGTGGTGTTGGCCACCCACTCATGTGTTGTGCCGGCCTTGAAAGGTGGTTACTAACAGCACTTGCTCCAACAGTCTGTTAAGGCGATGCTGCATTTGTGCACGAGGGGAGTAGAGTGAGATGAGAGGGGAGAGGTAAACAGAGGCGAGTCTATGGAGTATATTGAAGATGGTGACTGTGATCTTGAATTTAACCCAGGACTAGATTAGGAACTATTGGATGGAAGAGGTGCGATGTGGTCTCATTTACGGTTGCAAAATCTGGCAGCAGCATTTTGGATCATCTGGAATTTGAGAGATGGAGGGCCATGGGGAGGCCGTAGAGCAGAGGGTTGCAATAGTTGAGCCAAGATATGATGAAGGCGCGGTTGTGGAGTGTCTGGAATTGTTGGAATACGCGTGCTGCACGTGACAGGGCTCGTGACGAGCCTGCAGCGCGAGGCGTCGCAGCGTGAAGAGCAGCTGAGGAGGCTGCACGCCGATCTGCTGAGCACGCAGAGGGAGCTCCGTGAGAGGGAGCAACAGCAGCAGCCACTGGCTTCCACATCTGGCAAGGTGCCTTACACACCCTCACTCCGGTGGGCTTCTTTGACATGTGAGAAGGTCTGCTTCCAGTTTTAGTGGTCAGGTTGTCACTTTAAATACGTGTACGTTATTATTCGCGTTTAGACCAACGGTACAAACTAGCAAGGCTCGTGGAAGAATACCGCTGTGGAGACGGAGCAATGAAATCACCGAATGTGCAGGTGTTAGTTGGATTGTTGCATTGCGATACTGTAAGAGATGGTCAAGGCTTGGTGCAGTATTCATCCAACAGTGGATAATACAACAATCAGGACATTTCTCCTGAATCAAACACCTGTCTCGTCACACTGCAGTTGGCTTGTTTTTGTAAATTGGTTCACGCATATTATCAAAGATCTCTCCTGCTAACACAATGTGTCTCTTAACATCCTTCTCACAATCCTCTGTAGTGCTGGACCAATTCACCTGGAATGTACCTGATCTTGACAGATCTCGGAAGCTGAGCGATTTGTGCTTGGAGAGTGCTTGGACGAGTAACCACCAATGCACAGTAGTAAAATCCATTGTTTTACTGCACTTGTATGAATTTTTTTTCTATGGTCCTCCCTTCATTTATCGACACTGACCAGCATGGTAAAGTATGGCAAAATAACCCCCACGACTTGCACGGCACAGGGAGGCCCTCATCCAGCAGTGGATTGACAATAGGGCTGTACCTTTACAAGTGCAATAAGTGTAGATACAGGATGTCAGTGAGATTTTACATTGGCAGAACATTCAATGTGATTGTTGCGTGTGCGTGCCGTTGTGTGTGGGTGTCCAGTCTCTCATACAGAAGGAAACGCAGAGACTGGAAGAAGCGCTCGCAGCCAGAGAGGAAGAGGTGGAGTCGCACAAACACGTAAGTGTCGGGAGGCTCTTGAGTGCACGTAGATGCTATTGAAATTAAAGTATTCTATATTCTTTGGTTCTTTCGGTAAAGTCACAGAGGTGAAAAAAAAGAAAATCGCGACGTTTCGATTGCAACACAAGCAGTCATCATCAGGTGTGACAACCACAGCAAGACATGTTTTACTGAAGTGGGAGAGATGCCAGGGTTAGGGCAGTTAAATAAGTCAGAGAGTGGAGGGTGGGGGGGAAAGGGAGGGGGCGAATGGGGAGAGGAGGGCGAGCGCTTCAGGGATGCGGAGTGCAAAGAAGCAACATGATTGTTGCCAAGATAGATGATGGCGCCCAAAGCAAGATAGCCGCACTGCTAAATGCTGAGGATGCAATTAACTCGGTAAAATAGACTAGTACCCGGTAAATAAGATGGAACAACTATGAACAGTTAAATTTTACTTGGTTAATAACATCTTTCCAATGATTGCTCAATTTGTATCCATCATCTCGGTTGAAGTTATGTCAAGTATTCTATTGAAGTTCAAGTATTCTATTGTATTATGGCCACTGCATTATCCTCCAGGCCATCAGAAAAGTGGAGTTGCGGCTGAGGGACATGGAAGTGGAGGTTGAAAACCTCAAACGGGAGAAGGAGGACGTTGCCAAGTGTCTCTCGCAGGAGAAGCAGGTGCTCTGATGCTCTCCAAGCTGGTTGCTGTGGAACCTGTATTCAATGATTGCCACCGCCTCCTGCTTAACCTTTGTGTGCTGTGCTCTCATCCTAATCTGACCATCACCGCCGGGCGGTGGTGGCACACGCCTCTAATCCAGCACTGTGGAGGTGAGGGTTGGTTGATCGCACGAACGTTGTGGAACTCCTTTCCCTATGGCATCCAGGTGCCTTACCCTGGCTCGCCAGGAGGAGGCGGCACGGCAAGTTGACTAATCAGCATTAGTTTCCATCTGTAAGTGGATAGAGTGTTATTTGCCCTCTCGTGTGCATGGGTTTTCTCCGGGTGCTCCGGTTTCATTCCACATGTAAACAACTCATTAATCGGCTGAAAACAATAACATGAAAACTCTTCTGAAAAATAGTCATATGATTCAATGTAGCTTTTGTGGATAAATAAGTAATTATAATTATTACTTATGTATGTTGAAATTCTTTTGCACCCTATGTAGCCAACAGTGCTAATCGGAAGTGCAGGGAAAAATATATAATTATAAAAAATTATTATACACCTCTGTTAATTTGTGCTATTTTGCTTTCTTTCTATCTTGTTTCTGTTTCCTAAAAATAGTTTTAAAGCATTTACACACATTTATTTAAACTGTTATCAAACATTCTCCACCATACACAGCATGATCAATTATGGCTATGGTGTATTTCGTGTGATCCACCGTAATTCGTATTCCTAATGCGCTTATGCATGAGCCTTGTGGAAAGGGGAAATCAGCTTCGCTCTCATACATGCTTAAGGATCGGAAGTAAAATGTGTGACAAATGGGAAAATGGTTTAATCACAGTCGCCGCAGTGGACGCCATTGAAGAGACGTCTGCACCGTCTCCTGGCTTTGCATTACGTCAACTGTGATTGTGCATACAGGGACTCCTCTACTTACGAACGAGTTAGGTTTCAGAGGTCTGTTAGTAAGTCGATTTGTTCGTAAGTCCAACTTTACTCCTCTCGATTCCAAACATGTTGTACGGCATGTACACTAAACACAGGGAATGGCTTTCAAAGTTGTATAATCTCCTGTAGATGCCACAGTTCTTTATGTTCTGCAGATTCAGATGCCACCACCGCCATCTATTGCACGGCGGTAGAACTTAAACTCTCAATCCGAACAGGCAACTGCACATAAGCACAGGTTTGTTCGTATCTCTGAAAGGTCGTAAGTCGAATGTTCCTAAGTAGAGGAGTCCCTGTACTGACAATGTGTACACTCCCTGACAGGTGACAGGCTAGGAAGGGTAATCCTTGTGCTTTGTCTGTTTGTGACCAGACACTTGAACGTGTGCAGGAGGAGGGAGAGAGGCTTGGATTGCAAGCGCAGGAGGCCTCGCGGAGAGAGCGACTGGCTACCACCCGGCACCAGGAAGCTCAGCACACGGTACAGCATGGAGCTTAGTACCAGTGCTGAGGCTCACTTGCTCACATCTCAAGGTTGCTCAGCTGAAGAGAGCAGCGCACTGTCTCTGGCTGACCATCTGCAAGTCCAATCCCAGCCCCTGTTCAAACTCAGGCTCAGGAAACCTTGCTCTTCTCCTCTGCCAGACTGTAATTTCTGTCGAATTTTTTATTTTATTACAAAAGTAACCCCTTGATATGGACGTGCTATATAATCGCAGCTTTTGCATATCCACGATAATTTTATTGAGCAATTTTTTTTATTTTACGGGGTTGTATTTTTTATTTTAAATATTTGCAAGAAGTTGTGCGGCGTGGGGATGGTGCGGATTGTGAGAGCATGAAGGTTTCCCTCTACACAACGCCACTCTCCCTCTCAGCCGGCCTTTGTCTACTGCACTGTTTACATGCGGGTGCTTTCCTTTACACGTTTTTGGAATTACATATGGCACTGTAGACATTGGTTTATTTATTCGTTGATATTTGCACTTTTTAAATATGTTTAAGGTCATCATTATTAAAGGTAAGTTAATGAACACAACACTATACAATATATGTATTTATTAATATATACATACGGTTTATATGTTTAAACATAATATATGTTTATGCCCCCTAATCCTAGTTTACTCATAAGCTGTAAGTATTAATATTTACGTATTTAATATTCGCGCCACGTATCCCCCGCGAATATTAAGGTTTTACTGTATAGAGCATATGCTTTTTGCCATGTCCCACTATTTGGTAGTGTCTTAAAACTAGGCTGCATTTTGATTTGTAAAAAATATAATTTAGTTGAATTCGAAATGTTGCTCAAATATTGTTGGCGAAAGGTTTCAATTTATTTTTCTACTTTGTATGTTGAAACTCGTTATGTCCTACAAGGGGGTGAGCCAAACGCAGCACTGCATGAGAGTGCTGCCATGTTTTGCAGCTGGCCGAGTTGCGTGCGGTGCTCGTGCGGCTTTTGCCCTCGGTTTCGAACACAGAGCTCCCACCTGAGCCGGCCATCAACCAGGTGACACGAGTGCAGCCCAACACTTGCTCAGCCCAACACACATTGCAGCTCAATACACATTGCAGGCCAACACAGATTGTAGCCCAACACATTACAACCCAACACACATGCATCCCAACACACATATAGCCCAACGCGTGCGCAGCCCAACACACGTGCGGCCCAACACACTGCAGCCCAAAACGTACGCAGCCTAACACACATTGCAGCCCAACACGCACGCAAATCAAAGTGTTCCCGCACGCAGCTTTTGTTGCATTATTCAAATGTTGCATGGCGTCCCACGTTAAACACTGCAACTTGGTTGCTTTTGTTATAGAAATGCGGATCCACACTTTGTGAGCCATTTAACTCATTCACGGCCCATATCCTCTGACAGGACCCCCAGTATGAAGAGGGTACTTCAGAACTCTGTGCTTGGCCCTATTTTGTTTTCTATGTATGTCAGCAATCTAGGAATCTCCAATCTGCACTCTTGACATTCACCTTTTTGCTGATGATACAGCCCTAATGGCTTATGGAAGTTATATGGAGGAGTTACAATAGCATCTATAACAGGACTTTGCCCATGTAATTATCGGGCTGCCTCAAATCTGTCTTGTCACCTAAGCATATCGTGGCTCTGGACTCGCACCCTATTGAGCAAGCTGACAACTTTAAATATCTAGGAATTGTCATGGTTCCCTCCCTTCACTCCCCCTCTTTACTTCCCTATTAAACCAAAACACAAAGCTTACATGCACAATGTGTGTGTTGGGGTGGACCTGTACCGAACCTTTTTATAATTCAATTGCACTATTTATGACTCACATGTGTTTCTATTACGACCTTTAAATACCTCGTTTGTTAGTGCAATATTCCTTAAGGACCCTGATCTCGCTATCTGCAATATCAATGTTTTTGTCTTCGTGTTGTTGTTGCTGTGCTCACGCACCTCGGATCTCCCTTGTAAATTAGCCATTTAACAAATAAAATAAACTTAATACCTCTGTATAAGTAAGTGTGGGTCAACAGTCTGAGAAGGGAAATTCAACATGTTAAAGAAGCACTGCAAATGAACAGTTACAATGATGCTAAAATTTAACCCGTAAAAACAAAGTTTTTCACTATAAATCCTTTATATGCGTGGCGGCTAGAGTCCTCTCGTCCTCTTGCTTGATATGGCTGCCACCTATGGGTCAGATGATTGCCTGGCAGCATTAAGCAATTGGTAATTAAATATATTTTTTTTTTCCTAAAAAGTGTAAAATTTTGCAATTTTTTTTTCACGAAAATTAATTGTCATGCACAACGAGTCTGTGTGGAAAATGTCAGCTCGATTGGATCACGGGAAGTGGGTTAAAAAACGACCGAAAGATTTGCACGGTCGTAAGCGCGCAAGCAAGCGAACTTAATATAAAGGATTTAAATAAAAACGACCGAAATTGCACGGTCGTAAGCGCGCAAGCAAGCAAGCAAGTGAACTTAATATAAAGGATTTAAAAATCAGCAGGGCATTGAATGCAAAAACAAAATCAAATGACACGAGCATTGAAACTGCCCAAGTACCGTGCATTGCGGGAGTAACTGATCAACTAGCAAGATGTTTGGAAAAACAAAACATCCTAGTCAGATTTGGCACGGTACATAAAATACAGAAATTAATATCTGGTACAAAAGATATATTACCGAAGCTATCAACAGAAGGTGTGTACAGGATTAACTGCACGTGTGGTAAATGTTATGTTGGGCAAACAGGACGAATGATCAGCACGAGACTAAAAGAACATCAGAGAAATATTAAATTCTCCCAAATACAACTGTCAGCAGTAGCAGAACAAACGTGCCAACAAGGACACTCAATTGATTTTGATAATGTTGAAGTTCTGTGCAAAACTAGCTACTACTGGCCAAGACTAATGAGAGAATCTATCGAAATTTAAAGAAATAAAAAATAATTTTAACCGTTCGGATAACTACCGCCTTAGTGCTGCGTGGAAACGAATAATCAAATAATACATTGTTTAAATGCATGCCTATAAAGGGCAGCATACTTCAATAGGGATTACCGTTGGTAGGGATATTTTAATAAACACAATAGACAGGAAGGAAAAGATCAAAGGGCTCGTATAATGCACATGCATAATGTACGTTGACTAAGTAATCCCCCCCACTTTACACAAGAGTGCAGAAATGTGGTCACCACATCTACACCTCTATATAAGGAATGCAACAGACTTCTCCACAAATTTGGCTGTCGTCTGATGAAGCTAGTAGTAATTCCTGGCGAAACGTCGTACTCAGATTGTAAATGTTGTGGCTTGGTGTGCTGTACTAGTGACGAATTGGCATGTTCTGTTTACGTGACAACCCTTACTATATAGCTGTGTCGGGTAGTGGTGGGTTTTAACACCATATTTATATATTTACGCGATGTAACCCAAAAAAACCTGTATTATGGATATTCAGACAACACAGGTTTTCACAAAATTATACTTCATGAATCTAAATGAAAGTTCAGTATGTTTTGAGCAACCTTAATAGTCTTTTTGAATATTTGAGGATACACATATAGTATAAACGGGAGTCATAGTGCAGCGGAGAGCACACTGCGTTATGAACTTGGCAACTTGACTTCGATTCCCAGTCACAACTGACATCGGTGATGAGTGAAATCGATCTTGGGCCTCATCCTCTTCAAGCCAAACCAGTGTGGTGAAACACGGTCAAACAGTTTCCATTACCAACATGACATGGTGAGGCCTTCCAGCAGTGGATTGACACAGAGGCACTGTGTCGTATGTTTGTCAGGTGGAGCAGCAGCTTAGTCGGATCGTGGCGCGAGTGGCGGAGCTCGAGGTTGCGCGGGGTGGCGCAGCAGAGGAAGAAGAGATGTGGCGGGCACACTGTGCCAACCTGCAGCAGGCCCTCGTGTCTATCCAGGTGCTCCGATGGCACATACCAATGGCAGACGGATGGGGGGGGGGGGGGTAAAGGGTGCTGGCGAGGGATGGTATGAACAGCTTCAAGCTCTGATGACATCTTCAGCTTGATCTCTGCAAGAAGGAATCACTTTAGTGCAAATATTGTGAGAGTTATGTCATGAAAGTTATAAATTGCAAGATATGTTTGTGTAAAACACGTGGTTATTGGATGTACGTAGCAAACTGTGCTCATCAGAGGTGTGGAAGAAGGACAACAAACTAAACATGAAAAGCAGTTCTAAAACAAATGTTCAATCTAGATTTTGAAGTGGATAGCTCCAGTGGCTTCCTAATATCGGAAAGAACAGCATTCCAGACGGCCGCAGAATTGAAAGTGTGAGGTATCACGTACCCTTATTGCGTGCACCCTGGCAGGCTGCAGCGGAAGGTGGCGCCGGCGCCGATAACAGCGATGGCCCCCTGGGCACGAGCATGTGGGAGCTGCAGGCGCTGTCTGTAGAGGGGCCTGCCGCCTCGCTGCGGGATGCCCTGTGCACACTAGTGGGCGGCCTGGTGTCGTGGCAAGGGCACGTGCTCTCTGCCCTCACTGACGCCGGAGTTCGTGCTGAGGATTCACGCACGCCTGATGGTGATGACTGTGCACCGTTGTTTTCCTCTATATGACAATTAGCAGCACAACCAGAGCTCGAAATAGCCATCATATTCATTTCATCATAATAATAATCAACGTAATGAGGAAGTGTCATTCGATGTGAACTGTCATAAACGGTTTGCCAGACGTGCTTCGCATCCCCTGATGTACCCCATGTGACTGTAGGCTTTGATAACTGTGTTTGTGACAAATACTGTCTCTCGATCTCACCACCTGTGCCGATCTTCTTCCACACTCCAGGAATAGCAGCTTGCATACGAACATTACACCAACAGTGCCAGGAGACTACAAATCATTGTAACACCATCCAGGTAAACACAGCCTACATACACGGGGCTCGCTGTGAATGGTGTACGCACACACATGCAATGTTTCTGTTCATTTATGGTCAAAGCCATTTTTTTGCACCAAGATATTTTGTGTAATTAAATGCGTTTTGATGCTATTCATGAAATGTAAGGCATTTCGTCATCATTGTCCATTATCATGAGCCATTGGTTATCCACTGCTGGTTGAAGTCCCTCGATGCCTAGATTCATTTCAGGCATGTGAACTGATCTCAGAATATGATCTCACCCCTCCATCTAGGCAGTAATCATCCTCGGGAATGTTCCCTCTTTTGGCCGCCATTCCATCCCCAGTCTTGTCCATTTGCTTTCATCCCTTCGAGTGATTGGTCCTGTCCAAACACACTTTTTTTTTGCGTGCGGAAGCCTGACAAAATGTTAACTTCCTCACCTCGGTATGCAAAAGGTTGTAGGTTCGATCCCGACTCTGACACCTATATATTTGTAGTTTGAATATTTTCTCTTTCTGTGGTTGCGTGGATTTTTTTCGGATCTTCCGGTTTTTCCTTCCACATTTCGAAACATGCTTTTAGAGTATTTGGCTGATATACATTTGCATATGATAAGCCACTGTGTTGAGCTATCATTTGTGACCAGGTTGCTTTTGAAAAAGAGCTACATAGCCCAGTGTACCTTACCTGGTGAAATAAATATAGTTGAAGTTTTTAGTTTTCGTTCAGCAATGTATAGATCATGGTTATTGATGATGATCATTAAACAGTGGTGTTTATTGAACAAAATGTGATATTATGTGGCTTCCTTAGTTTTGCTTTTCCCACCGGTGGTGTACATTCTGAACAGCTGGAACTGGCGGCACTGCAGGAGAAGCACGAGGAAGAGGCGCGGACTCGAGAAGAAGAGAAGGAGCAGAGCGAGCGAGAGCGGCAGGAGCTGGAGAGAGCGCACGAGCAAGAGCGGGAGGGACGGCTGCAGCGGGAGATTGAGCAGAGACTGCAGCATGACGTAGAGGGCATCAGGGACCAGGCTCGGCTTGAGATCCAGCAGGTGTCTTTCTTAGACATCTTCAAAGAACAATCCCCACTTTGATCTTGTTTGTGTTGTGTCTCAGCTATGTTATGCGTGTCTTCGTGCAGAGAGAGGAGGCTGCGACTGCCTGCCAGAATCGCACCCAGGAGGCAGAGGCTGAGCTCACGCAGCTCCGGACGGTGAACGCTTCTCTCATGCTCTGTGCTGTCTTTCCCCTTGCCCTGGATATAAACACAGATCTGGTGCAAGGTTATCGTGACCCCTGTCTCCACAATAGGCCCATTATTAACATCCCATTGGTACACAACATGTACTGACTGTTGTTTTCTTCTTCTTTTTTTATTAATATATTTCACCTAGAAAGTCCCTTGAGAAGGAATATCTCTTCTTGGTTCTTTCGGTAAAGTCACGTAGAAGGGAAGTAATAAAATAATAAAAATAAAACAATAAAATAATTCTCACGACGTTTCGGCCACAACGCAAGCAGCCGTCCTCAGGTGAAGAACATGTCTGTCGATAAGACAGAGTCTAAATGACACGTCTTAGGCTTGGAGTGTCTATTTAAGCTGTGAGGGAGGAGGAAGAGAGCCTTGACAAAATAATTTGTATTTTAAGAGGAATTTAGTAAATACAAATTCTTTTGTCAAGGCTCTCTTCCTCCTCCCTCACAGCTTAAGTAGACACTCCAAGTTTCGATTTAAAGCTTTCGTGACTGCAGGGATTCATCTTCTTGTTTCTTTCGGTAAAGTCACGTAGAAGGGAAGTAATAAAATAATAAAAATAAAACATAATAAAACAATTCTCACGACGTTTCGGCTACAACGCAAGCAGCCGTCTTCAGGTGAAGAATGAGACACTACCAAACTAGGAGCTTATATATAAGCTGCATTGGGGGTTGAAGAGCGCCTTAACAAAAAGAATGTGCATGTGAAGAGGAATTTAGCATATTCATGGAAAATGCGTAGGCGTTGGGCGGGGGGGTGTCAAAGTCATATTATGCCCATGCATTATGCAGGATCAGCAGCAACCAAGGGGGGTGCAGGGATTAGCAGTAACAAAGGAAAGGAATGTTAATGATATGTAGCTGCAGTTACTCAACAACCACGTAGAAAACTAAAGTATAAACTACATAAAAAACTAAAGTATAAACTGCATCGCACCATCAGTATACTTACTATACTCTATAATAAGCTGAGTTACTAACAGCAAGTAATACATTACAATTCTACCTCGTAAAAATTCTATAATATGCTTCCATCTAAACCTTATTCTCTTATATCACACGAGCATATACCGTACTATATACTGCCATAGATAAACCCAACATTAAATTATATACTGTATTGCTGTAAACCAACCTATATCTTATACATTTAATATAACACTATGTATTATTCTACACACCCTAATGTGTATCGAAATGGTTTATTACGTCCTTCCAATGATTGCTGAGCCAGAATCCATCTTCTCGGTTAAAATTGTCTCTGTGTTTGTATATGTGGATCGCCTCATGAACGAATCTCTCATGATAGCCAGATGGCTTGCAGAGAACCTCTGTCTTGGAGAAGTCGATATCATGTGAGCCCACTGAGTTGTAACAGTGATCTGCCACGGCTGAGGTGTTTGTCCTACCGTGTTTCAGGTCAGCTTTATGTTCACGGATGCGGTCCGAGACATGTCGTTTGGTTTCCCCAATGTAACTGCTACCACAGAGGCAACTTAGTTTGTAGACGCCAGGGTACTGTATGTCTGGAACCACATCTTTTACAGACGGTACCAGATCACGGATTTTATGTACTGTGTTGAATCGGACCTGGATCTTGTGTTTAATCAGGATTTTGGAGATCTTTTTTGTGACCCCAGCAATGTAGGGTAAGGTGATGGTCTTGAAAGGCTCCTCAACAGGATCCTTCTTGATGGTTGGAGTGATGGCTTTGCGGATTGTATAGTCGGAGTAACCATTTGCCTTAAGAGCTTGGCGTACGTGTTTGAGTTCACTGGAAATGTGTTCATGGTCGGAGATGCATTGGGCTCTATGATATAGAGTCTTGATGAGGGAATTCTTCTGGGATGGATGGTGGTGGGAATCCGGTTTTAGATAAGCATCCGTGTGGGTGGCTTTCCTGTAGACAGAGTGGCTCATTGAACCATCAGGTCTCCTTTTGATTAGGACATCCAAAAAGGGTAGCTTGCCATCATTTCCGAAAATGATGGCAAGCTACCCTTTTTGGATGTCCTAATCAAAAGGAGACCTGATGGTTCAATGAGCCACTCTGTCTACAGGAAAGCCACCCACACGGATGCTTACCCTTTTTGGATGTCCTAATCAAAAGGAGACCTGATGGTTCAATGAGCCACTCTGTCTACAGGAAAGCCACCCACACGGATGCTTATCTAAAACCGGATTCCCACCACCATCCATCCCAGAAGAATTCCCTCATCAAGACTCTATATCATAGAGCCCAATGCATCTCCGACCATGAACACATTTCCAGTGAACTCAAACACGTACGCCAAGCTCTTAAGGCAAATGGTTACTCCGACTATACAATCCGCAAAGCCATCACTCCAACCATCAAGAAGGATCCTGTTGAGGAGCCTTTCAAGACCATCACCTTACCCTACATTGCTGGGGTCACAAAAAAGATCTCCAAAATCCTGATTAAACACAAGATCCAGGTCCGATTCAACACAGTACATAAAATCCGTGATCTGGTACCGTCTGTAAAAGATGTGGTTCCAGACATACAGTACCCTGGCGTCTACAAACTAAGTTGCCTCTGTGGTAGCAGTTACATTGGGGAAACCAAACGACATGTCTCGGACCGCATCCGTGAACATAAAGCTGACCTGAAACACGGTAGGACAAACACCTCAGCCGTGGCAGATCACTGTTACAACTCAGTGGGCTCACATGATATCGACTTCTCCAAGACAGAGGTTCTCTGCAAGCCATCTGGCTATCATGAGAGATTCGTTCATGAGGCGATCCACATATACAAACACAGAGACAATTTTAACCGAGAAGATGGATTCTGGCTCAGCAATCATTGGAAGGACGTAATAAACCATTTCGATACACATTAGGGTGTGTAGAATAATACATAGTGTTATATTAAATGTATAAGATATAGGTTGGTTTACAGCAATACAGTATATAATTTAATGTTGGGTTTATCTATGGCAGTATATAGTACGGTATATGCTCGTGTGATATAAGAGAATAAGGTTTAGATGGAAGCATATTATAGAATTTTTACGAGGTAGAATTGTAATGTATTACTTGCTGTTAGTAACTCAGCTTATTATAGAGTATAGTAAGTATACTGATGGTGCGATGCAGTTTATACTTTAGTTTTTTATGTAGTTTATACTTTAGTTTTCTACGTGGTTGTTGAGTAACTGCAGCTACATATCATTAACATTCCTTTCCTTTGTTACTGCTAATCCCTGCACCCCCCTTGGTTGCTGCTGATCCTGCATAATGCATGGGCATAATATGACTTTGACACCCCCCCGCCCAACGCCTACGCATTTTCCATGAATATGCTAAATTCCTCTTCACATGCACATTCTTTTTGTTAAGGCGCTCTTCAACCCCCAATGCAGCTTATATATAAGCTCCTAGTTTGGTAGTGTCTCATTCTTCACCTGAAGACGGCTGCTTGCGTTGTAGCCGAAACGTCGTGAGAATTGTTTTATTATGTTTTATTTTTATTATTTTATTACTTCCCTTCTACGTGACTTTACCGAAAGAAACAAGAAAAAGACACTCCAAGCCTAAGACATGTCATTTAGACTCTGTCTTATCGACAGACATGTTCTTCATCTGAGGACGGCTGCTTGCGTTGTGGCCGAAACGTCGTGAGAATTATTTTATTATGTTTTATTTTTATTATTGTATTACTTCCCTTCTATGTGACTTTACCGAAAGAACCAAGAAGATGAATCCCTGCAGTCACGAAAGCTTTAAATCGAAAAGGAATATCTCATTTGCAAGGGTGTCCAGGGTGTCAACTGCTGCTTGGGCTTGCATCAGCATATTGTAGAGGCGTGGCTGTGGCACGCTACGGAAGGCATGACGCAGTGCTGACATGACACTCACCTGACCCTCATCAGACAATCACCACTCACCTGACATCACTCATAGTCATCAACTCACCTGATCCTCACTTAGGATGCAGCCCTCCTGTGCAAGCTGTGCCATTGTGAATGGTTATTCGGTTAAGCCGCACCAGTGCAGACACATTATTTGGTAAAGTGTGATTTTTTAAAGTGTTTACCACATTCGCTTAAGCTACATGTCATAACCTTTCCAAAAGACACCTCTTTCATTTAACTTAGTGGAGTGATCCAAGAGGAGGCCCCTGGACAAAAAGATAAATATCCCCTCCTATTGCTTTAACAGACTGTTGGGGCAAGTGCTGTTAGTGAACACCTACAGTGAGGGAAAAAAGTATTTGATCCCCTGCTGATTTTGTACGTTTGCCCACTGACAGAAATGATCAGTCTATAATTTTAATGGTAGGTTTATTTGAACAGTGAGAGACAGAATAACAACAACAAAATCCAGAAAAACGCATGTCAAAAATGTTATAAATTTATTTGTATTTTAATGAGGGAAATAAGTCATTGGGTTTGTAGTGAAGCACGCTAGCCGCTATACTACCACTACATGTCATGTCGAGGTAGGACACCTCTTTCATTAAACTTAGTGGAGGAGGGCTGTATTGTATAGATCATTCGTTTATTTACAGTTATTCATTCCAACTCCTCAAAGTTGTCACATGATTGTGGCCTGCCAACCACCAGAGTGGCATAATTTGTACACACATCCCAAAGACATTGATACCCTCGATCTAGACTTAAGAGGTGATGATTGCAGCGTGCATCGTTACTATTTCCCACTATATTAAGTCGCTAGTTGGAGTGGCGACTACCTGTGCATGCATGAAGATCCTGTTTGAATGGGATGCTGAATATTGTGGTTTGAGCTTCTGCTGGTTGAGGGAGAACTATCAGCTCTGAAGGTCAGTGACTACAGAAATAGCAGAGGAGAAATTGCCTTTAAATTAGCAGTAATAGGACAAGGACAGTGATGCAGTGAGACGGTCATAGTTATGTGTATTGTCTCGAGTATATATGTATGTGTGTTGAACTTCTTTCGCACTGTACGTAGTCAACCGTGATAATCAAAGGTGTAGCTTAAGGACAACAATGTTGTGTTATAATATCTAATGATTGAGGATAGGGATGAGTATGCAAATTCATCACAGGCAATATCTAAGGCTGTGAAGTAAGAGCTGATTTTTAATCCTAGATTATATCACACGCGTTTACAAGCATACGTACCAGCAGCTGATGTTTGGAAGTGTGCACTTGTGGTTATTACTGTGATGCACAGGGCTCGTTGAATCGAGGGTTCCTTTGATCTCATTAGACATCAAAATGTTCCATGGCACTGCCGCTGCTGCTCGAGCACTGCCACGTGAGTGTTGACTTGTTCAAAGTGGCGGCTTGCCGGCCGACGTTTTGTTTAAAAAAACAGCCAGTGGTAATACGTGACAGTTACAGTTGTGGTTATAGTAACGCAACATGTGGACATGTATAAGTGAGCTGGCTTGAACTTGTACTGTAGGTAAAAGGGGAATGGTTATGATGTGATCCACGGTTCCCCACTGTCGCATCATGGAACGGACTGCAGCTGTGTTCTGATGGCATTGCGCGCTCACATGCTCACAGACAATGTCAGCACAGAATTCACGTTGAAGCTTTAACCAATAAGTAAACTCCATACGTTCAGCACATCGGGTCATTATCGTTGCTCATGCCTGTGAATCACACAGCGTCACTTTTGTAGTGGCGTGAGAACAGAAAACGCCATACAGACTGAGTGAGTGTGCACGGTGGTGTGCGGGGCAGGCGATGGAGGACAAGGAGCGTGCTGTGGCGGATCTGCAGGCCGCACTGGACCAGGCTGCACGGAATGCAGAGCAGCTCAAGGCCGATGCCGTGAGTTCTGCAACGTTGTGGCACGTTGCCGCACACACAGCTCCGTACCCTCAAGCAAGCGGACGCCTGCCATAAATGCCGTGTGAAGATCCCGCTGGCTGGCGCACGTTTACATGAGCGCTTCATTATCTCCTCATCTCTGCCATACAAGCCCAGTGCGTTGCCGGAGGGGTGGAATGCTCACTCATACATCACTCAGCCGCACGCAATCAGCCGCCTGCATTACTGCAGTGTTGTGCCCATTATAATGCTGTGTGGACAGAGGCAATGGTGTACGAATGAACCTGGCCATGGATTTAAATTTAAACAATAATTCATACAAATTTGGACAATTACTTTGTATAGCGGTGTAGCCAAGTGTATGATTACTAGAGTTATTGATGATTAGTATTATTTTGGTGCTTGTTTACCCAGGAAAATCTCATGGAGGCTCACGACTCTTGCAGGAGGATGATGCTGTGTGTCATTCCAATTGAGTCATTGTCGGGTACATTTTCAAACTTGGCCCACGACACCGGCACACAACATCACGGGATCTTTTACGTCTGCTGTGAAGCGAACGGTGTACAGTAACATCACGGTTATTACACCCGCATCAACAATCAGGGCGGCCGATGGATTAAAACCACGGTTCTTTGTAACAGGCGATGAGCACACACTAGCATTGGGCCACACCGCTTCTGCCAGCAATATCAGTGGAACTTAATTTCGTGACATTGCCTTGTATTATTTTATTTCTAAACTAGCTGTACTACCCGGCTTCGCCCGGGTCTTGGATCCACGAAACCAGGCCGCCTTTGTCTCCCAAGTGGCGATGTTCATACGCCACACCAGTTACTCGTTTTGAGGCTGAGTCGACCTAGGGGAGGCCCAGGATCGGTTCAAATAATCGTCACCGGTGGTGGCCGTGAGCGGGAATGGAACTCGGGTCGCCGGGTTCGTAGCGCGGCGCGCTAACCACGACACTACAATGCGTTACGCTTCCGTTGTAGGATTTGTGTGAGGCGCGCCGATCCGCTGTAGGGTTTTAGTGAGGCGCGCCGATCCGTTGTAGGGTTTGTGTGAGGCGTGCCGATCTGTTGTAGGGTTTTAGTGAGGCGCGCCGATCCGTTGTAGGGTTTTAGTGAGGCGTGCCGATCCGTTGTAGGGTTTTAGTGATGTGTGCCTATCCGTTGTAGGGTTTTAGTGAGGCGCGCCGATCCCCCGCGATACAATAATACTGTGTAATCGCTATAATTTTATGATTTACCGAGCCTATAATAGTAATTGCACACATTGGGGTGGCGGGGGAGTAAAGAGGATGTGAAACTTTGATGAATTTACCTCAGAGTTGCGTGGTGGGTGTCGAGGCCTAGCACCGTGCAGAGCCTCCGGCCTCGCCTGATTTTCCCACCCGGCTGACGCTGGGTACGGGTGCCGTTCCCCCCCCCCCCCGCGCTACAATAATACAGTCTAATCGCTATAATGTTATAATCTACCGACCCTATAATAGTAATTGCACACATTGTGGTGGGGGAGTGAAGAGGATGTGAAACTTTGATGAATTTACCTCAGAGTCGCGTGTTAATGCGTGCGCCTATTTTTAACGGGAATTAAAAATGGCGTCCACCCCGCGGCGAAGGCGTCGCTACCCGTTGCCAGGGGCAACCACCCTCCAATGAAAGCGGCGAAGGCGTCGCTACCCGTTGCCAGGGGCAACCGCCGTCCAATGAAACTGCAGCCCGCGGCGAAGGCGTCGCTACCCGTTGCCAGGTGCAACCGCCGTCCAATGAAAGCGGCGAAGGCGTCGCTACCCGTTGGCAGGGGCAACCGCCGTCCAATGAAACTGCGTATGGTCCGGCGACACACACACACACACACAGACAGATTCGCGATTTTATATATATAGATGTTACAAAAATTTGAAGGGAGATTATGTATGTGTAGTGACATTGGGGATGCCTCTATATGGTGCCGGGCTGAGAGGGCCAGGGCACGCGATGCACGGTCATCGCATAAACCCTGTGGGCGGGTGTAATACCAGCCCTAGCGGGGCTTGGTGAGTGCTGGATAGCGCGGGCACCACGCATAGCATGTGGTGAGGGCTCCCACGAGGGGGAGCGGGAGAGTGCGAGCCCAAGGGCAGGATTGCCGCGGGCTATGGCACTTTGGTTGACCCTGCAGACACGTGATCTAGAGTGTCCATAGAGAGGCCCCCAGGTGGGGGGACTAGGGGGTGATCACGTGTCCAGGGAGAGCTCTCGAGAGGGAGCTAGAAGGATCCAGAAGGCGTGCGGGGTCAAGGGCGGAGCGGCCCCGACCGTAGGGGGACATAAGGCGGGTCCCTAAGAGGGACGGGGTTGCTGCATTCTACAAGCTGAAGCTCCATGTCCACCAGCTGAAGCCTCCATCTCAAGCTGGAAGCTCTACGTCTTCGAGGCAAACACGTGGTCGCGGACCCGAGTAGGGACCCGACCCTTCGTAGCAGTAACTCCTCTGTATAGTGTAGTTAGCTGGGTGGTCACCACACTAGGCTGTATCTGGTGAATTGGCAGTTACCCCTTGTGTTACGTGTTACAAATAAATGTGTTGCCTCTAAAAGGAACAACGTCTACGACCCAGTTGGACTCACGACATATGTATGTTGAACTTCTTTTGCACCAGAGGTGCGGGGTTAAGAACAACAAACAAGAGTAGGTGCAGTTCGATGTCTAAGATTCAGACAAATGTGGTTTAATTGCAAGTCCACACATGCTAAGGTTTGAAGTGTTGGCATGTAACCAGGTATTAGTTCGCAGATTAAATCGATTGCATCTATTATTATTTGTTCTTGGTGAAACCCAGGTGACTCTTGCAAAAGAGGCAATTTTTCACATGTCTCAAAAACTAAACTATGTTTATTTTACCAGGTCAGGCCCACTGAGCTATATAGCGACCTGGCCACAAATGATAGCTCAACGAAGTGTCTTATTGTCATGTGGAAATATATCGCAGGCAAATACTTTAAACGCATGTTAATTCTAAATATAGAAGGAAAAATCGGAGGACCTGGAGAAAAATCCACGCAACCACGGGGAGAACATGCAAACTCCAAATATACAGCAGGTATCAGGGTCTGGATCGATCCCACGACCTCCTGTATACCAGGCGAGGTAGTTAACATCTTGCCACCGTGGCACCTCCTGGTTAAATAACGGATACGCCGATGACGACGACAACAACAACATTTGTTATTCTGTGCGCGCGCACTGGGTCCGCCAGGAGCGGAGCCGCGAGGAGGAGGTGCGAATGGCGCGCGAGGACGAGCGGAGGTCGCGGGACACTGAGGTGGCGGGGTTCCGTGAGCAGGCGTCTCAGCACGCGCTCACCATCGTCTCCCTGGAGGGGAGGCTCTCCGCCCTGCTCGCCCAGAGCGCTCACGACTCCCGGAGCGCTCACGGCGCCCGGCGAGCCCCAGCCAGCGGGGGCAGGCGCCCATCAGGTCCGCCGCTCCCGCTGTTGTACATATTGTGATATTAACAATAAGGTCAAATACAAACAAAATGATACAAATTATAAAAATGTGAACATTTATGTAAATATGTTAAAATATTAAGTGTGTAATGTAATGAAATGCGTATTTAAGTGTAATTAAGAATGTGTGTATTGTTGAGTGTAATGAATAATGATTGCGATTGTGTCTTAAGTATATGATTATTGTAAAAAATATTTTTGATTAATGAGAATAGGTTTTCCCCTTTTTTCTGGCAACAAAACAGGTGTTAAGATGTTAAAACAGCAAACTGAAACCTTATTACAAGGAATCATGTCTGCATTAACCACAATACTTGTGGTCAGAATGCAAACAAAAAACATATATATACAACACTGCGCCCATCGACTGCTGTCGCTTGTTTCGCTTGCTCTCGCTCTCGGTGCCAACGGATGGCAGGCGTTGGTGTGAAGGTATCCACTCTGGGTGTACATCCCACACGCGGGCGCAGGGGGATTAGTTTGAAGGGCGTGCAGTTCCTTGCCATGTTGCGACCCATAGGGTGCCGTCCCGGATCCATGAGACCTGGCGTGATGTTGTTTTTTTATCCGCGTTAGATGCTCTTGCATGAACCAATGCTAGACCAATACTTAGAGGGATCACTAAATCAACTTTTGTGAGCAAATATACACGATTGCTTATCCAAGAGCTGACCATTTGCAAGTGTAGAGCGTTTCAGCGTTGCATCCTAGGTTTAAGATACAGGTGTATGTACAGTGCTTTGTCAATCCACTGCTGGATGAGGACCTCTTCACACTGTGCAGGTTATGGGGGTAGTTTGACCATACTTTACTCCACTGCTCAGTGTGGGTTGGTGAGGGCAGGGAGGGTAGACGTGGGAGTAGACTATGGTGCTGTACAACAATGGATTTGTACGCATTTCCCTCTGCTGCCTATAACATAACCCTATAGCCTATAACCCTTCTGTTGCATGGTGGTCACCCATCAAAGCACAATCCAGCATTCTGGGTAATTTTATCATAAGCCAACCTGTCATCCAGCATTGTGGAGGCAAGGGTTGGTGGATCAGACAAATTACAAAATGTGAGACTCCTTTCTTTTGGGCATCGAGGTGCCACACCCTAGCTTGCCAGCAGAAGGCAGTACAGAAAGGTGTGGAATGACATGATCTGTCTCTTCTGCATGGGATAGAGTATTGCCGCCTCGCATGCATGGGTTTTCTCCAGGTACTCTGGTTCCCTTCCACATCTATAACCACTCGCTAATTGGCTGAAAATATAATATACTGTACAGAGAACTGCAGAGCAGTTGATGGTGCCGGCTCACCATCTGGCAGCCCTCCAGCTCTCGTTGGGTTCCTCAGCGATTGTGAGATGCAGTTTGTATGAATGACGCTATTTAAAATAAATTGTAAGATATTTTTTTTTAGTTATTGAGTGAAAGTATTTGTAGCCTCCTGTGGGAGATCTGGACAAATTCATAGATCCAAACTTGAAGTTTTGCCGAGGAATTCAGTTGACCACAACGGTGGGTCCAACACAGCTGGGTGAGTGGCAACACGTGTGTAGCAAGGGGCTTGATGATGGCTACCGCAGGTTTAATCAGCCTCTAGGGGTGGGATCAGTTCATTGCCAATCAAGCAGCAGTGATGTACTAAATAGTTTTTATATATTTAGAACGAATTGAGATATTGGAGATGGTTGATTGTGTGAGGTGGCCGAGTGGCTTGAGAGGTCAGAATGCTGAGCTGACACTGCAGAGACCTGGGTTTGAATCCAGGTAGCTGCCTCGGATTAGAAACTGGGTTCTCAAGTGTCGATAGTTGATGGTCTCAGTCTGGCTACCAATGATTGCACACGAAAAAAAAACATTTGCTTAAGTTTGGTTTTGCACTTAAGTTGACTAAGTTCTAGCTTTGAGAGTTAAAATATCAATTTAACTGCTATGCCACGACAAATATTACTGTGGGTGGTAGGGCAGATGGGAAAGTGCTGCCCCCAACCGTGTGTAGACTCGAGGTAACATGACATTGCAGCAGTAGCATAATTGAGATAAAACCGTGAAAAATGGGTTAAATAAAACAGTGCCACAGGTATCGACAAATGACCATGCAGGCTATGCGTTGATATATTTAGTTATATTTAGTTGCCTCAAAATTCCATTGGAATCTTTGCACTTTAGGGATTTGTGCAAATCCTGAATGTGGCGAGATGTTAACTTCCTCGCCTGGTATACAGCAGGTTGTGGGTTTGATCCCAACCCTGATGTCTGCTGTATATTTTGAGTTTGCATCTTCTCCTCGTGGTCACTTGGATTTTTCTCTGGGTCCTCCGGTTCTCCTCTCCACATTGAGAAACATGTGTTTAGAGTGTTTGGCCACTATAAATTTCCATGTGACGATAAACCACTTCGTTGATAGCCAGGTCACTTCTGAAAAAGAATCTATTTAGCAGCTCAGTGAGCCTTACCTGGTAAAAAATATTAAAATAAATAGTATGGTGCTCGTCGGGTGGTGTTCACGCAGGGCAAGGGGAGTCCCCGAAGTCTGGCAGGCCTGGAGTGGGGTTCACCGAGACGGACGGCGAGCCCACCGAGATAATACCTGCAGCAGCATCGTGTGGCGGGCGCTCCTGCTCACAGCTCCGGTGGGAAGCCTGAACGTCAGCGAGTTAATGGAGACGTGCACTTTAATGTTTACTACAAGTGTATGGGGCAGCGTCGTAGCTGTGGGTTCAAGTGAATTATTCTTGATTTGCATGAGCTGTTGTATAGTGGTTTGCACAATGTGTCATGATTTCTGTAATTCATATTCAATTTCTGGTCTGCACACCACTGGACTAGGCTTCCCGTGGGTAAAATTTTCCTGACATGAGTCCCTGATGAGTACGGTTGGCTACGTACGGTGTGCAAGAAGTTAATCATACATAAATATTAAAACTGAGGAGACAAAGGCAGCCCTGCATGCTATTGACAAAGGCTATCCCTTCATCTGCCAGACGAATCGTAACAGATATTTGCTAATGGCACCTTTCATTAACATCCAGTCTGAAAGAAATGTGGTATTTTGTCTGTGTATTTGTTCATATTTTGTTTGTGTGTGTGTATATTTTGAGTCGTGTGTGTGTGTGCGTGTGTGTGTCCTTGCGTTCGTCCATGTCCTTGCGTTCGTCCATGTGTACACACATCAAGGTGTTGTGTGTGCTATTTATATTGTCTACATCAACGATAATGCTTATACTCTTTGGTTCTTTCGGTAAAGTCACGTATATAGAAAAAATAATTAATAAATCACGACGTTTCAATAGCAATACAAGCCACCGTCTTCAGGTGAAATAATACAGCAGGCGGACTGCTGAGGAGGAAATGTAGCAAGAGAGCTACTGCAACCAAAGGTGATATAGACGTTTGTGGTGGGTACAACGCAAGGGTAAGTGGGCGGGACTAGGAATGGAATTTGGAAGTAAATGTAATCGCAGAGAGGGTATGGGTGGGTGAGCTCGGCTAATCCGAGGAGGGGGAGGGGGGCTGCCGCAACGGGCGAGAGGGTGGGCAGTCGCGAAAGCTTCAAATCAAGATTGAACCACCTCTACGGGGAGGATTTCCACACAACTCAAGACATGACTTCAGCCGAGAAGATGGATGCAAAATTTAGCAATCTTTGAAAGGACGTTGATCAACCAGGTATAGTGTTAACTGTTGTGTTGGGCGACTCTCTGAGTTGCATTACATTTCTAAGTTTGCAAAGTTTGATATCTTTTTTCTTTTTTTCTCTCTATCACCTTTTTCCCTCTGTAAATTCCACCCCCACCCTCTCGCCCGTTGCGGCAGCCCCCCCTCCCCCGTCCTCGGATTATCCCGAGCTCACCCACCCATACCCTCTCTGCGATTACATTCACTTGCAAATTTCATCCCTAGTCCCGCCCACTTACCCTTGGGTTGTACCCACCACAAATGTCTATATCACCTCTGGTTGCAGGAGCTCTCTCACTACATTTCCTCCTCAGCAGTCCGCCTGCTGTATTGTTTCACCTGAAGACGGTGGCTTGTGTTGCTATCGAAACGTCGTGATTTATTTTTCTATCTACGTGACTTTACCGAAAGAACCAAAGAGTATGAATTCCTGCAGACACGAAAGCTTCAAATCAAGATTGATAATGCTTATTTTGTTTTGTGTATTATAGAGTATTGCATTGAACTAGGACCCATATCTAACAATGAAGAACCTTACCTATAAACATCTGATAGTTCACCAGCTTCAAGTAAGCCTGATGAGACACTGTATGTCAAAACTGGTCCAGAGTTTGCTTGTATTGAACCAATTCTGCTTCGACTATGCACTCCCAGAAGGACGTGTGGCTGATGGGATGTGTAAAAAATACTTGTATTGTTTCATGTGGAAGGACAGAAATGGGAAAGAGGCATGTCGTCTCCATATTTTGTCGACTCACTCTCAAATGAGTACCTGGTGTGGTGCATAAACATCACCAGTCTGTTAAGGCTACACGGGGGATCTTTGTCTTTGTTTGCAGGCGTGATCTGACAGAGGTGCGCGCCTTGGCCCAATCGCACCATGACGAGGTGCAGTGCTTGAAGAGGAAGCTCGCCACTGCCCTCGGCCGCCTCTCAGACGTTGCTGGTACCCACTGACTATATAAATTGACGTATTGGCGGTACACCGGTGCAGCATAACACACCAGTCCTCAGAAAACAGTCTGACGATGTCCTTGGTCCCTGTTGCCCTTGAGTGCAGACTGTCCATCAGAAGTTGCCTTAGATTCAGCAGCTGCTTTCCCATTCGAACGTGTGACACTACAAGTCATATCATCTCTTGATGCCACCGTCCGCCAATAAATTCTTCCGGAAACGAGTCGAGGAACTGTCCGACCAAGTATAGGACACGAGTCATATCTGCCTTTGGAACACAGAGCAGCCAATCGTCATCAGGCTGGGTGCTGATATATGGCAACAGACTGAAGCTTCGTGTTCAGCGGCTCATAACATTCATCTTCCATCTGCTTCGACATCACGATAACTGATTTTGATGCACCCCACAATATTTTCTGACCGGGGTTGTGAATCGCGGGAAAATAAATAATTATTGCCAATTTATTTTTATATCGCACACTGGTGTACCACCAATACATTCAAATACAATCATGATCAATCCCCTGCTGGATAAAGGTCTCCCCAAACCATCACCATCTCCCACAGCCCTGCGATGCAACGGCTCACCTTGCACCTATGCACGAGCTGGTAATATCACTCCCTCTCTGTGCTGGACTTTGGCTGCTACTGTTGTTATTCTTGACCAGCAGCTATGTCGCAATTAAAATCTGAACCGGTCCTGGACCTCCTGTAAGTCGACTTAGCCTTCATTATATGAGCACCTGGCACGGGGTGTAAACTTCAGTATCAGGGAGACAAAGGCGATGGACGTGGTCCCGGGCATACCGCCACCTCGTGCGCCGTGCCGGCCTTGGTTCCCCACACCTCTGATTAGCACGGTTGGCTACGTATGGCTACGTACGGTGCAAAAGAAGTTCGACATATATTTATAGGTGCTTGCTAACAGCACTTGCATCTACAGTCCACGTGGGCTACACAGGGGCTCTTTGTCTTTGGTGCTGTATGTATGTTGAACTTCTTTCGCACCGTACGTAGCCAACCGCATGAATCGGAGGTATGGGGAAATTACAACAAACTAAACGCAAAAATTAGTTTTAAAGAAATGAGTTATAATCTAGATTTAAAAGTGCATAGCTCCCAGTGACTTCCTAATATTGGAAGGAGGAGCATTTCAGACGGCCACAGAAGTGCATCCGAAAGCGGACAATGCAGTGACTGTCTTTGTTCGATGGCCAGCCAAAAGCCGCTGCTGTGAGGATGACTGCAGTTCGCGTGATGGTTTATGTTCCTTGACGAGGTATTGTGGTTTATTTGTGGCAAGCACTTTTTGTTACTGCGGTGTCTCTTGGTGCAGGTGAACTCAGCGAAGGGCAAAAGGTGGCGGTGGAGCACGGGCGCGCCCAGCTGCGGGAAGCACACGTGGAACACGAGCGTCTGCAGTGCCACGTGACGCAGCTGTCCCGCCTAACGCACAAGCAGACCCGGCAGCTGCAGCAGGCCAACGAGCAGCTCCGGTACAACACTCACCTGTCAACACGTCACGGCGATTTCCTTTGTCTGCCACAAACGAACCACAATACCTCCGATTAGCACGGTTAGCTATGTACGGTGCAAAATAAGTTTAACATACGTACATACGTACATACATACAAGGAGCCTAAACCGTCACGCAAACTCTGGTCATCCTCGCAGCAGCTTTTGGCTAACCAGCGAACAAAGACGGTCACTGCATCGCACGCTGTCAAATAAATTTCTGCAGCCTTCGAGAAAGCTCTTCCTTCCGATATTAGGAAGGCACTGGAGCTATGCAGTTAAATTTTGATTGAAAACTTTTTTCTTTAAAACTGCTTTTTATGTTTAGTTTGTTGTCCTTCCCCCGCACCTCCGATTAGCACGGTTGGCAATGTACGGTGCAAATGAAGTTCAACTTACATACGTCACGATGCTAACAAATAAAGCCACTGCTCTTGATGCGGGGCCAGCAGCTGCGGGAACACAGACACTTTCGCCACTTAGATCGTCAAAACAAGTCAAAGTGATTTCCTGCCCAAGTGAGCATTTGAGATTACAATCTCTGAGCCAGTGGTGGAAATTTCGCATTCCTATGGCAGGGGCGAGTCTATCCACAGGACAACTGCTGTTGACTCTCTTAAAGAGTTGTACTCTTTTTCATGACCACGGAGGGATGATGGGCTGAGTCAACTTGCAGCCGTGATTTGAACACGCAACCTTCCTATTGCAAGCCACTCGCTCTGGTCGTGGGAACAAGTATTTATCCCAGGCCAGATGTGGCTGTGTGTGACTGGAGCCCAGTGCTCTGAAGGCAAGAGTCAGTGGCCCAAGCCCACTCCTGAGCTGCCAGGTGGTCATGAGATTGCAGTCCTCTTGCTTGTGTCCATCCTGCATGCCCTTTTCTGTCTGATGAGTTATAATCATTTACAAAAAGTGTTAGAATGTTTTTTTAGTACTGTCAATTGGTTAATTTACGAAGAACATCCCTTAATCACAACACAGAATCAGGCCGTCATATATCTCAATGTTTGTGTGAAAAGGTCAGGACATGGAAGCAGTCATGAACACGACATGTTTCTTAATGCTTGAAGCACCAATGTGCCTCAGGGAATATGGAGACAGGTTTACGGAGCAACAGAGAGAGCTGAACGACAAGAGGGCGGAGTTGGAGAACTTGCAGGCCGAGATATCCCAGATGAAGGCAAGCACGTCCACCCGGCTTGCCCTGCAGCGCCAGCAGGTGAGGAGACATGAGAGGAGGAGAGGATAGAGGAGGTGAGCACAGAGGAGGATCTTGCAAACAGGCGGAGCGCGTCCACCGTGGCCGTGTTAGATGGGGATGGAGAGGCGTCTGACAAACACTCGTGTGTGCAGGCGGGCGAGGAGAGCGATGCGGCGGAGCGGGCAGCTCGCTGCGAGGGTCACCGCCACGACGAGGTCATTCAGCGGCAGAAAGAGGCACTTGTGGAGCTGAGGGCCCGGCTCAAGGCCATGGAGAAACTGCGGCCTGAGTGTAAGATCCTCGCAGCACGTGCCTCCAACTTTGAAGGGAATGTGTGGTTGAGTGTGATCGTCTATGCACCCTGGCCCTGTATGGGAGTGGTAAGTGGAGCGGTTAGCGCTACGCTGCGCTGAGAACCCGGCAACCCGGGCTCGATTCTCGCTCACGGCCACCGCCAGTGACGATTATCTGAACCGGTCCTGGGCCTCCCCTAGGTCGATTCAGCCTCAAATGAGGACCTGGTGCGATGTGTAAACATCACCACTGGGGAGATGAAGGCAGTTGGGCATGATGCTGGCCACCCACCCCCTCATGCGCTGTGCCCACCTTCAGAGGTGCTACTCGCTAACAGCAATTGCCCCAACAGTCTGTTGAGTCTATACGGGAGAGCTTTGTCTTTTTGTATTTCATGCACCCTTATTCGGTGCTTCATTATAACGTTTGCCTGTCTGTGTGTGCACGTTTAGTGACCGTGAGCACCAGTAAATCAGTGCTTCAGCAGGAGTTTGCCCAAGAAGTGAAGCGTCAAGAGGAGTTCCTCGCATTACTACCTGCAGGGGAAGCCGATGTAAGTCTTGACCCATATTTCTTCATGGGATGGTTTTGCCGTAAGAATAGGTTTTCCCCTTTCTTCTGGCAACAAAACAGGTGTTAAGATGTTAAAACACCAAACTTAAACCTTTTGCAAGGAATAATGTCTGCATTAACCACATATACTTGTGGTGAAAATACAAACAAAAAACATGCTCTGACAGTATATGCATTGTCTTTGAAACTGATTGGTACACACCAGAGACAGCTTTCTATAGAGCCTAGTCTCAAACAGTGTTAGACCAGGGGACGCCACAAGGCGAACAGCACAAAGACAATGCACTATCAAATTGATAAAAAGCTGTCTGGTGTGGACCAATCAGTTTCAAAGACAATGCATATACTGACCGAGCATGTTTTTTGTTTGTATTTTCACCACACGTATCTGTGGTTAATGCAGACATGATTCCTTGCAAAAGGTTTCAGTTTCTTAACACATATTTTGTTGCCAGAAAAAAGGGGAACACCTATTCTTATATTTTGACACTGGCAAAGGAGGTCCAATGATGTATCTTTTTGCCAGTTTCAAATAGATGAAAAAAATATCAAGTATAATACTTGCATTGCCTTGCAAGTATAATATTCGCATTGCCTTGTACTATTTGCCTTTTGGCGTTCTCTGGTCTGACACTGGTGAGACAAGGCCATGAAGAAGGCTGTCTCTGGTGTTTGCCAATCAGTTTGTGTGTTTATTTTCTTGGTTCTTTCGGTAAAGTCACGTAGAAGGAAAATAATAGAATAATAAAAATAAAACATAATAAAATAAAATTCTCACGACGTTTCGGCCACAACGCAAGCAGCCGTCCTCAGGTGAAGAACAGGTCTGTCGGAAAAACAGCGTCTGAATGAACACCACCAAGCTTGGCAGCGTATATTTAAGCTGGGTTAGAGGAGGAAGGGCACCTTGACAAAGGAATTTGCATATCAACAGAGGAATTTAGCATATTTATGGAAAATGCAGATATGGGATTAGTCACTACTTGTGGAATGCGTAGGAGGTGGGGGGGGGGGTCTCAAAGTCATATTATGCCCGTGCATTATGTAGGATTAGCAGCAACAAAGGGAGGAAGTAGGGTTAGCAGTAATAAAGGGAAGGAATTTTAATAGTAAGGATAGTAAGGAGTAAGGAGCTGTCTAACCCTTTCCCGTTTTCGAGACATTAGCAAGTTACAGGGTGGGTGCACTGTTCACTGCTGAATCTCGGAACGCGCAAATTGTTTTCCTTAATTCTATTTAGAGAGGTATAGCATTGTTGTTTTTAAAGACATTGTACTGACTGCAAAAAACCCTAGTGACACGACCGCACTCTATGATAGCTGGCACCAAACTGTGCCACACGCTCTCTTGCATGGTCTTCTTGGAGCCTCGGTACCGATAAAGTTATTTTATTTACACATCCGTCATTGGAACGGAATCGGAAGAAAAACTGATGATGCACATGTACGTCATCAGAATTGGAAAGGGTAACTGCACGGGGCGCTGTGTGGTTTTACAGGCAGAGAGTCATCTCTCGGCAGTGATGGCAGAGGCTGCTTATGGAGCGCATGGCTCGACTGGAGACCATCGAGAGCCTGGAGCTCAGCGAGAGAAGCGTACGAGCCGCGCACTGCACATGCACCCAGGGGCATCGTCAACGTGCACACAGCCTGGCGCTTTGCACCGAGGCCAGCCAGGGTGCCAGTGTGCACAGAGGAAGGGCATTGCAACACAAACGTGTACGGCGCGAAGACAAAGCATTTCGTTTCTGTCCGTGAATTTATATTCCACCTCCAGTGCACTGCGTACCTTTAACTTGCTTTTAACCCACGTACTTCAATACAGATTTCAATTCAGAATGTAACACCAAACGGACTGTAAGCAGTGCATTGGGGCCCGAATATGCCATGGCAGAGTGATTGATTCACTATTGGAAGGTTGCTATTTCAGATCTTATTCAGGGGTCAATTTGGCCAATCATCTCTCCATAGACAAGAAGTACCACTTTGTGCAAAGTGAACAGCAGCAGTCCGATTGAGACTGGTCCCTGCTACATGATGCATAATTCCACCACTGGCTCAGGGCAACTAACCTAGAGAAGTGAGCAGGGGGACACTTGGACTTTGTGCTTGAGTAGAGTCCAATGCTAATTGGATGTATTTTACATCCTCTAAATATGACCGCAACACATGTGTTGAGATCTAACAAGATCTGAGTGGTTTGGTCATCGGCCATCATATAACGTTGGTGGTATCAAAGTGGCTTGAGGAACGGTCTCGCCGACCCCATCGTTCATCTTCCCGGCTTCGAGCTGCTGCGCCCGTCAGGGGCCCTGCTCGACAGGTTCCGTACCGGCCGGGGCCCATGTGCGGCCAACCTACAGACCTGAGACTAATGTGACACCAACCCACACTGTGACACCAACCTACGCTGTGGATGTGGTCAGCGGCAGACCGAGTCGCACATTTTGGAACCAGAGTGGCAAGATGTTAACTACCTCACCTGGTATGGAGGAGGTTGTGGGTTTGATCCCGATCCTGATGCCTGTATATTTGGAGTTTGCATGTCTCTGTACCCCTGGTCACGTGGATTTTTCTCCGGGTTCTCCAGTTTTTCCCTCCACAATTTGAAACGTGCGTTTAGAGTATTTGACTGCTATCAATTTCCACATGATAAGCCACATTGTTGAGCTATCATTTGCAGCCAGGTCGCTTCTGAGAACAAGAGTTATATAGCTCAGTGGGCCTTACCTGGTAAAATTTAAATAGTTTAATGATGTAATGTGAGGTTATATCCGGGTCGTTGATGGATTACAACTCGTCACGACGATTGGCTCTGCCGGTCCTGGTTCATAGCCAATGGGGGGAAGCCTAGGGGCGTGGCCCTGATGTAATGGAAAGGTGACAGCTGGTTGTAGAGGATTGGTTCTGCTGGCTTTAGCCACAGCCAATGGGGAGACGAGTCAGGGGCGTGGTCCCGGGAGCCTCTGGAATATTCCATAGAGGCTAACCAGGTTTGGGGGAAACGTACCACGTGACCTGGGTATTAAATAGGGGTGGAGACGAACGACACGTGGTCAGAACGAGAACGAATGGAGGAAAGGGGCCATGCGTGAGCGGGGCTCCAGGTTGCCACGTGGCAGTGCGTCTCTCTCTATCTATCCCTCTCAAGCTGCCTGTCAGCAGCGTGAAGGAAAGCTGTAATGCAAAGTTGAATAAAAGACCAGATTCCAGAAGTCGCCTCAACGACCTTTATTACAATAGTTTAGTTTAAATAGAGTGGTCCCTGACCGGACTCAACGATGGTCTCAGGGACTTAGCTGCCGATGAATTGGCCGTTGCCCAGCTCGGAAGGACGAGAGTACGAGAATAAAATCAGATGTTGCGTGCAAATTGATTGAGCTAGTGCAGGCGACGGTGACACCTGCTGCACTTTGCTGCACTCTCTGTCCGTGACTGCAGTACCTGGATCTGGCCCAGGCCTTGGCCGAGCTGCTGCAGACGCCGGAGTTGCCTGGCTCCCGTCCCCTGGCGGTGACGCCGAGGGAGGGGAGGGTGGCGTTGAGCGAGAGGCGGCATGAGGATCGAGCGTCGCTGCTGGCGTCAGTGCGCGCGCTTCGCTCACAGCTGCAGCACAAGGAGACGCTGTTGCAGGGATACGAGGGAAACCTGAGGAAGCTGCGGTGAGGCTCCTGGGGAGGGATGCTCAGCGTAGTCTTTTGTGCGGAAGGTCTGCACGCTTAAGCAAAAATGATGAATGGATGAGAATCTGTCCCCGCAAAAATAAATGTTTAGTCCATCAGCCTATGCACATTTTGGACAAATGTTTTGCAGCAGCGTTTGATGAAGCGGGAAAAACTCTGGACAGGTTTTTGACTTTCTGAGTCTCGTCAGCAGAGGCAGGCCTGTTAAGATATGCCACGACATTGTCAGATGCTATAAGGAAGAGCCAATCTTACACACTGCGGGGCCCATTCTGAGACCCAAGAGGTGAAACTGTTTCAGAGTTTTCCTGCTCAAATGAACGCTGCTGTAAAATATTTTTCCAGAAAACCAGTGTTGAATATGACGTTTTTTATACGTCCATTATGCGGAGTGACAGACTCTTGCCTGCTTATTTATTATGCTATGACCTGTGATCTAATTATGCAACCGTTTTAGGCTCTATCCTATACCAACCCAAACACTGTGCTCACAACGCCCTCGATATTAGACGAAATATTATGTGCAGCATCGTTGGTGGAACACTTTGGTCCTGGACCAAATCCGTGGCATCCCTTGCTGGAAACCCCCCACAGCGAGTATGAGCAGACGGCCGCGGCGCGCGCGGAAAAGGTGTCGGATCTGGGTGAGGAGGTGGACAGGAGGAACGAGGAGATTTCACTGCTTAGGCAGGCACTGGAGCAGACGCGGGCGCAGCTGGAATCCGAGCAGCGCCTTGGCCGCAACCTTAAGCAACGCCGGGTGGGTGGCACTGCTCCTCGTGCCCTGCACCAGGGTTGAAAGACAAAGATCCCCCCGTGTAGCCTTAACAGACTGTTGGGGTGAGAGTTCTGTTACCGAGCAGCATCTATTGAAGGCCGGCACGGCGCACAAGGGGGATGGATGGCCAACACCACGCCCGACGGCCATTGTCTCCCGAGTGATGATGTTGTTTTTCACAGACCGCACGCACCAGGTACTTATTTAAAGCTGAGTTGACCTCAGGGATACCCAGGAGAAGTTAAATATTCACCACTGTTATTGTTCGTGAGCAGCAATCGAACTCGGTCACTGCTGGGTTCGTAGCGCAGGGCGCTTACCACTGCAACACCGCTCACTGCACCAACAGGATCCCCGCACACTGTGGTAAAGAGCTGCGATATGGCCCCTTACTTGAAAGGTAAAGATAAATCGGACAACGGGAAAAACCCTGCCACTGCTCGCTCGCGCCACTACTGGCACAAGAGCGCTCGAGGTCTCCTCTGCAGAGTGTATTTGGCCTACTCTTCTACACTGGCCAGAACACCACACACGAACTGCCGATCGACTAACTCTGGGCATAAAATGTATGCTGCTGTGGGTGGACAGAGGCGGGGGGGGGGGTAAAGAAACGCACACCGTCGTTTCAGCTGCTGCATGAGGAGGTCGAACCGGCGACTTCCACATTGCACGCCCAATGTGATAACCCATTAAAGAAAGACTGCTGCCAAAAACGTCGCCTATGGAATATGTACATTTTTCTTTTGAGACAGTGTTCTTTAAGAATGAGTTGCAGTTTTTTTGTTCAATGAGCTTCTGTGCCACCAATGCCGCAGCAACGCCAAATAATTGGTTCGACTTGATAGCCGTTACATCACGGCAGCAGCCCTTATTTCTTACAGATTGGATAGTCTTACATTTTGTGTGAAGTTCCTTCTCAACCAACATATTAATTGATCATTCAGTGTATAAATGCAAGGCAACAGACTAAAAAATTCGACGTGCAGATACGAGTCACGTTCCTTGGCATTTTTGATGGGTGAGCAACACAGATGATGTTATTTAACAGTGCCGGGAGGTTCTCAGAATGATAATGTGCAAGTATACTCATATCCTGTTTACAGGGGTGTGCGTTGGGCTCTAGCTTACCAGTCATGGTAGATTCTGTTCAGGGTTCACGATCGTGTTCTGAAGCCTCAAATTCCCCTTATCCCACATGAGCAGGGGGTGGTGTTAACGCTGCAAGAGAAGCAACCTGCTGCCAGGTGCACACACAGCTGTGTACGCGAGGACATCCACGGCAAGGTGAGCTTCGCGCGGTCCCGCTCTCGTCGCACTGCAGAAGGTGTCATGCAATGGCATCGTTGCACCACTGTGAACCAGAGCCACGGCCTTAACCCACACGGAGTGCCCATCGGCAGTGTTAACTCCACAATGAATCGTCAACGTTTGACCACCGTGAATTGCATCACTGATCTGCTTTGTTCCCTTGCCGACACTTAGGGGTTTGTATTGATTCGTCTAGACTGGCCATACACTGAATTGTGGCATGCCACACGTCCATGCGACAAACGATTGGAAATATTTGTATGTGTAATGCCCCTGGGTTTATGGAACGAAATGTATGTTAATGCTGCGTTGGCGGTGGTGTGCAAGCATAAAAAACTAAAGAGCTCAACCCCTTTGTCAATAAGACTGCTGTAAAAGAAAAAATATTTCCTAGACAGCGTTTTTGGCAATGGCACTTTCTTCAGTTTTACGGCCTGTCAAGATGGGCCATTGCCCAAAGGAAAAGCCTCCTTGAGCACCTCACCACTGCTCCACGTGACTTTGGCCATGAAAACTGGTGCTCTTGGATTGACTGCTTGAGAATAACAACTGGTCGCTGCGCATATCTTTATGTACGCACTTTGAATTTCTTTTGCACCGTACGTAGCCCACCGTGCTAATCGGAGGTGCAGCGGAAGGACAACAGACTAAGCGGGTCTTCTTCAAGTGGGAAATTAAAGATGACCCACAGCACAGCGACTGCAGCCACCCGAACCAAACAAATGTACCACATCTGTAAACAGCTGTGTTCTACTAGGCCTGCTCTCCAGTGGACTGGGCAGCGTTGGTCATGCCACTCCAGGAGCTAGCGTCAGATTTCTCACACCTGGATGTATAATTTGGATGTATGATCAAACCTGGATGTATAGTTTATGCGTGCTTGCCATATGGTAGAGAAATAGGATTGCCCAGATTGGTCACCCGTTATATTAATTTCCTTTTAAGGTCACGGTGTTATTGACAAATGTGTTGAGCTTGTAGTTGTATGGAGTAAAGATGCTGTTTGCATTGCAATGGTTATTATTGTTTTGTCCTTAACGATAAAACTATAATTGGCAAACACTAGTCATAGTTTGTCTTGATCGCATAATTTTACTAACACGCAACTAAAGTACAAAACACCCCGAGTCACACATTGTACCACTGTCTGTGCTGACTGCACATTGTACATTGCCACCATCAGTACATGGCTGTCGTTCATTGCTCAAGCATCAGAGTTGCGTTTACATGGCGTTTCAATTCTCTTTCTTCAGTTTAACAGTGACGATATGGCCAAAGGAGCACCTCCCACTGTCTTAGGCCCTGAATCAGTAACTTATTCGCTTCGGATAATCCTCGTCTCTATTCTTCCAGATCTTTCTTTACTGCATCTGTCTGTCTGGTTCTCTGCTTTCCTGCTCTCTACGATCCCTCTGCATGCGTGTGGTGGTGCCAAATGTGGTCTTCCAGTTTCATTCTCATCTTGTGTCCACTCCATTGCCGCCTCACCTGTTTTCTCCATTAGAGTTGTTTTCTATCCTAGTTCTTGTTTTTACGTTCTTGAATCTTTGGAACCTTGATATGCTCAGGTTCCTTTTCAGGATTCTTCTTCATATGTTGTATTATTTTTGTTGTTATTTCGCTTATGTACCCAGGAAAGCCTCGCTGAGCATCACGACTCATTCTCAGGAGGATCCTGTCAAGTTTTCGCAGTGGTGGGGGGGGGGGGGGGTGATATTGCTGTGTGGAATCCCAATTAAAGAATTTGTGGGTATTTTTTTTACCATTGAGATGTTTGGCCAATGCCAGTTACATTGTACGTTATTAGCTATGGGCCGAAACTGGAGAACCAGGAGGAAACCCATGAAAAAAAAGGGAGAACATACAAATTTTACGCACAAATATGCCCGTGTTGGGAATCGAACCGAGGCATTTATTGCTGCGAATCACAAGCGTTACGACTTGGGCCACCCTGCGGCACTAAAGCATAACAAGATTTTCACTGCCGCTCTTCAGGCTGAGAGCAAACAAAGGGCTCTGGTGGAGCGACTCCGCAAGAGAGAGTACGAGGTGAGCGTGCTGAAGGGACAGATCCGACATGGAGCGAGCGCCGCCTCCACGCAGCACGCAGGTGAGCTCCCAGCAGCGGCGCCAGCACTTCAACGTTCACGCTGAAGGAAGCACGTCCCGTACACGGTTGCATGGCCAAGACGTGGCCCACCTACGACAGTAGCTCGTGGAGCGGCCAGAGGGCCCACGGACATGTGAGCTTACCCAGGATATTGGCTGGATTGACATTGTTCTGCTTCATTATACCAAGCGACATCACAGTTTTATTGGGTACTTGGTCATTAACTACATTAACATCATCGTCACCATGCCGGATGAAGCCCTCCTCAGGCCCTCATCATCACTCAGGACCTTGCAATCCACCTCACTCGTGCACATGGGGCGCCACGGTGGCAAGATGTTAACTACCTCGCCTGGTATTTAGGGGGTCGTGGGTTCGATCCCGACCCTTGACACCTGCTGTTTGGAGTTTGCATGTTCTCCCCGTGGTCGCGTGAATTTTTCTCCTGCTCTGGTTTTTGCCTCCACATTTAGAAACGTGCGTTTAGAGTATTTGGCTGCTATACATTTCCACGTGATTAGCCACTTTTTTGAGCTTTAAATTGTGACCAGGTCGCTTCTGAAAAAAGAGCTATACAAACAATACAGTATTTTCCCATATAATGCCGTGTTTTTCATAACACAAATTGTATATAACGCGATTAATGTATTAGGGAACACATTTTTTATAACACAGTTCAGTTAAAAGAACTATGTCGCTTGAGTAGGAATAAGCAGTTGTACGGCTGCCTCGGCGTAGCATCGCACAAGGCGAGATGCTTCTCGATGCTACCCACGCATCTCAGTCTTTGTTCAGCCTGTTTACGCATCTCATGCGTTATCGCAATTTTTCCATAACGCAGTGTTCTTTGGGAAGGCAACTACCATGTTATAGGAGAACAGACAGTTTAAAATAGTTTAATAGAGAGATAAACACAAAGGAGGGGAAGGAGAGAGATCAGTGAGATAATAGATTCATAATAGATAGAGATACGAGTCCTGGAGATCAAGAGGTACAGCTTTGCTGTCACATACATACCTTATAACATCTACTATGTCATAACATATGGTGTCTTGTGGGTACCAATACACACCAATTGTATTCTTTGACCCAGCAGAAAATAAAGTTGAAGAACCCAGCATTGAGTAATATATGACAATTGTCACGTGTAAGCTTCTAAATACACTTGTCTCTTTCTGTACAGATGTGGAAACTTGAAGAAACACATTTAGACACGGCTGTCTAGTGCCAATAATATGAAATGTGAGATTTGTTTTCGTGGATAATTTATCACAGTATTGTAATATCAGATCTATATAACATTTGTGCTTCAAAGGGATATCGTGCAGCAATGCTTATTGAGTGCCTGAATAATACATGCGGACACATCTTCGGTCTGTGTACACTTCCATGAGGACGCAGTGCATACCGGAGCTCGTGTTTACGTGTGTAGTGGGCTCGAATTAGGTGCACACAACTTCTTGGGAGGCAACACTTTATTATTAACATAACAGGTAACTCTTAACGTTATACATAGGGTGGTGACCACCGACCTAGCCTCGCTAACACACACCGTTACTGATGCTCGGACATAACTAGCGTGACCCAGCCAGGAGGGCTACTTGATGGCCACGCTGATTTGAGGCTTGACTCTTCTTCACGAGGCATCTTCACGAGGCATCTTCATCCTGGACCCGAGCAGCCTCGAACCCGGTGCGGAGTGCGCTTATATGCGCCTCGACGTGCCCGGGCCTCACCCCGGCCACGCCCGCCTTCGAGAACTCTCGAGAAGGCTCTCCTCCTGTCCACGTGACCCCAAGGTGCCCCCGGCCCCCACCTTGATCCGGTCACATGTCCAGCTGGGTTCACTCAGAGTGCCATGGCCTGACACAACCCCCTGGGCACTCATCCACGGCCTCCAGATCCCTTGAACAGTCCGTGACGCCATTCCCTCATCCAGACGGGATGACGTCATGTGTATGTGTGTGGACCCGCGTGGTAGTGACGTCCCCCCGCATAGTGACGTCCCACGTGTGTGTGTATGTGTCCACCTGGTAGTGACGCTACTAGTCACTACACATGTACGATTGATGATTGCAAAAACAGGAATGTTCCATTATTCATAAAGATTTTGTTGGATTCGATCGCGAAGATATAAATGTGTCATTAAACCCACCACGACCTCGACAGCCAATTAGTAAGGTTTGTCATGTAAGCAAAACATGCCAATTACTTACTAGTTCAGCAGAGTAAACCCACAACATTTACAATTCGAGTACGACGTTTCTCCAGTAATTAAAACCAGCCTCATCAGCCGATAGCCAGAATTGTCCTGTCTCACACCTCTCCTATCTCACACCTCTCTACCTGCCGTGAAGCCCAGTGCACCTATACAGTAACATTACATATACTATTTCAAAAGCTGTCATAACGTTTTTCAGACACTTTGAGCAAACTTGCGGGCATTGAGCCTTATTCAATATGTATGTAATTGCATTCAACCCAACAGTGCTGTATTTTGACACAACGTTAGTAACAAAAAGTATCAAACTTGTTTAACACCGCTCGTTAAGCCTGTGTCCACGAAAGGTTGAGTGGAGTCTGACATAACAGCCCCGGTTACATAGCCAGGCATGCTCAGTAATCACATCTTGTTGAAATACAAGTATGAACTTGTGAGATCATTATCAATTTTAAAGTGGTAATGCCACTTAGTGTTTAGCCAGAAAGCCCCCGCACTGTGGTGGGGGTGATTTTATGCAGTGGTAGGAGACCTGTGGAAGCATTTCGCACTTTAGCAGCAAAAAATTAATGTAGAAAACGTCGCATTATTTACATCTCCTTTACCCACCACCGGCACAATAGGCTTCACTGTTTCAGTCACGTTGGCAATTACGTATGTGTAATAAAAGACTTCCACGACGATGCTTGTCAGAGTGCTTCTCTTATTAACGGCAGTACGGCATAGCTCCGCTCCCTCCCCCTCCGGGTGATTTCCCTCTTCTCAACACCGTAGACGAGGCGTCCCTCTCCGAGCACCCCGCGGCTCACTCCACTCTCCCGGCCTCGCCGCTAACTGATGGTGTGCCGGGAGGAGCGGTGAGTTCCGCTGGAGGATCCGCCGCGTGGCCCGTGGCGAGGAGGGGATGAGCAGCAACGCGGTCTGGAACCCAGGCTTCCCACACCGACCTCGAGTCTTCCTCTCCTTATATTCACCCCAGCGGAGCTAGGCTCTGCCTCTAGTCACGCCCCCTCGTGGAACCTTCCCGATGGTTCGAGAACTTCTCTATCCAACTCTGCCCGTCCTCCTTGGCCCAGATATTACCCCCCTTCGGATTGGATGCTGATTACGTAATGGTGCCTGTCCCCTTTACCCTCTGGCACCCCCTGGATGGCGCTCATTACATATTATCACAACTCTGTAATGTGAGGGATGCACTAACAGTAACGCTTCCAACTTTTCTAAATCACTTTTCATTGCTTCCCTACAAAAGGCAACGCACAGTAATTTTTGAGATGGCGGAGAGATTGAAGTTCGTTTTGAGGGAATTGTGTCAAGATGTTAGACGGCGAGAGTTCTATTTCCTACAGCGGAGCCCGCGCCGATGGTACGCATTGGGTGAACTGCGCTGCCCCATCCACTGTGCAACCCAGACCTGGAACCCACAGGTCTTCCGTCTGTTCGGGCCTTTAAAGGCTTGGCTGGCTGACCACGGACAACACTTTTACAAGTGACTGGTGCACGTGATGCCCCTCACGAATGGTTACACGATGCACGCTGACGATTTCCCTTTGCTTGCATAGACATTGACCCCGGTTCCAGATTGGAAAAAAAAAGCAAATTTGGCAAATGTTCATGACTTTGCAATGAATCAAGAATCAGGTTTAATGAAAAGTTATTCTGGCAACATGGTGCGTTATAGTTAGGGTTTTTGCTCAGATGTTGATTAAAGAGATGTGTTAATGCTCTTGATCTGTTAGCATTACTTTGAATAACATAATTAGCATCATCATGATGGTTAACAGAACAATGTAAACGCTACTCTTACAGTTGGCACTTTGCTGCGACATCACGTTGGTAGTGTGAATGCGAACTTTTGAGCACAGTCGTGTGCCGGCTGCGAGAGCTTTTGAATACCGGCAGAAGTCGCGTGTTGATATTGCTTGTCCATGCCCTTACGAATGGTAATAAACTTCCTTAGCGTGTGTGTTATTGCATGCTCTATGTTGTAATTATTTAATGCCCACAGTTCATTTCATATGGAACCGAGTTGTACTGAACGCCCGATCCCCAAATACGAAGGAGACGTCACAGTGAAACACTCCTCTGCTCTGGACACAGTTGTCTGGCTTGACCACCTGAATGTGAAATTGTAGTTGTTGCTCTGCATCTATGTAATATCTCAATTACGGCGGGAGACGAGTTGACGGGGCAGCACTTATTTATTAACACTCATGTAACAGTAACAGATACAGCCGAGATACAGCCTACGCTACGCGTGCCTAACTCGGCCACGCTCTCAGGCCCTCCGGCAACGCTCTCCCCACAGGGAGCTATCGGGCCCGCCTTGCCAGGCACGGACCCCGACCTCTGGATTACACAGCCCGGCCCTTACAAGGACATCGGGCCGTGAATCCCAAGGTCTCGCCTCTGAGCCGCACAGAGTCCCGGCCCTTACAAGGGCAGCGGGGCTAGGGGTCTCAGGGCCTATCTCTTCCTCAGTCTTCTGTCTTCACTGGTAGACTTCTCCCCGAGTGCTGCTGCGCATCGCCTTACATAGCCCTCCGCTCCAGGGGGCGGGGCCTATGTGGACTGTGATGTGGACACCCGCCTGCGGACCGCGATGTAGCCACCCACCACGCGCTGTCACATGATCCCCCCCTGCCAGCACGGACTACCTCTACATCACCCCCCACCACATAGCTCGCAGCCAGCTCGGCTGCAAAAAAAAAACCCAGTCTGTGTGTGCCCCGTAACGCCAACAACTACACAACAAAACACAACAAGAACTCCGCGAACCCCACGACAAATACAAATCCGAACATTCACCCGCAATAACAACAACCGTATGTACATACCGACGAGTAAACCCAATAAACTATATACAAGAATGACATGTACAGCGTCCCCACACTACCGCTCGCCCCTAGAACGGGACATTAGAACGGACGGAAGGGGAACGCTGTGACGAGGTGACCCGGCGGAACCCCTTCCCCCCCCCAGTCAGGAAAAGTGGCGCGACCTAGCGCGGGTCCGCCTGGCCGGTCCGTCGTACGGCACAGGACGAGTTTGACCGTCCGGCGGCTCCGGCAGTCCAAGAAGGCACAGAGCAGGCTCCGAAGATCCGCACGTGCCTCGGGGATCCGGTCGCCGACGGTCAGCAGCCGTCAGTTCCGAGACACCTGGGAGCGGATCAGGCGGAGACATGTGAGGATCAGGCGGTGACATTCCCCTCCCCAAGCCGACGGCCACATCACATGCTCGGTCATCACGACATGAAGGAAGGCCATATGGTGCCGCGAAAGCTTTCAGCCGGGAGGGGTGAACGTACCAACGGCGTTTTCCCCATTTTATCTGAATGCACTGAGGCCGTGCAACACGCACGACTTCCACGGGTCCCCGCCATGGCCTCAGCAGTTTCGGGGACGTGGCCAACGGCGCATGCGGGCAGTGCAGCCAGGCCCTATCGCCCGGTTTCCATTCGTGCATGTACACCTTCCGCGCACGCAACCGCTCGTTAGCAATCTGGCAAGACCTTGAATTCAGCCTCGCAGCTTCCCGCGCCTTGGTCAGTTTATCAATGTTAAATTTAATATGGTCGGCCAAATTAGATTTAGCACGTGGATCGGGAATCCCCAGCTGGGCCTCCATGGGCGGATCGGCCTCCCGACCGTACATGAGATAGAATGGGGAAAATCCTGTCGCCGCATGGGGGGCCATCCTGTACGCGGCGAGGACACCAGGGACCTGCAAGTCCCAGTCAACCTGAGCGTCGCACACCTGTTGACATAACATGGAAGCAATCGTTCTGTGGAGTCGCTCCACCATCCCATCAGTCTGTGGGTGGTACGGGGAGGTACGCACTTTTTTCGTACCCAAAAGGTCACACACCTCACGCAACAAAATGCTCGAAATTTTTTTACTGGTCGGTCAGCAAGCGTTCGGGGGCACCCTTGTCCAAGACATAGCCCTGGACAAAGGCGTCCGCCACAGCCGCCGCCGACTGGTTGGTAAGCGGCCACGCCATGGGCCATCGAGTGAAGTATTCCACGCCAACCAGCAGGTACTTGTTACCCCTAGGCGTTACCGGAAAGGGCCCCAAGATATCCAGCGGCAGCGACCAACTCTCCCCCGGGGACGGCGACATGCGGCTTACAACACGCCGAACCCAGAAGGCATGCACATTCCGAGCGAGGCGACAACCACGACAGGGCATCCGCGTTGGTGTGGCGCAATCCCTTACGGTAAGTGGTCGTGAATTGGTAGTCCTGGAGGACCTCCAACCATCGTGATAATTGACCCGAGGGTTGGGCGACACGCAACGCGTATTAAAGCGCCGCGTGGTCCGTCCGGACAGTAAAATGACGGCCGTAGAGATACGGTCTGAATTGCTGTATAAAGAAAACGATAGCCAGCAATTCGCGACGGGTCACACAGTAGCGCTATTCCGCTGGCGACAACACCCTGCTACCGTAGGCGACCACCCGTTCGACTCCCCCGATCACCTGTGAGAGCACCCCCCCAATACCCGTGTTACTGGCATCTGTGTCGAGCAGGAATGGTTTTGTAAAATCAGGGTAACACAAGGGCGGAGCACTCACCAAGGCGGTCCGAAGGGAGCAGAACGCGGCCTCCTCCTCCGGCCCCCAGCGAAACCTCACCCCTTTCGCTGTCAAAGCATGAAGGGGTTTGGCTATGATGGCAAAGTGCTCAACGAAACGGTGGTAGTAGGAGGCAAACCCAATGAAACTGCGGACCTCAGTTACTGACGTGGGCGTTGGCCATGAACTGACACAGTGTGTCTTCGCGGGATCGGTGGAGATGCCCGAACGGCCCACAATGTGCCCCAAGTACCGTACCGATTCCCGAAGTAGGTGGCATTTAGCCGGTTTAAACTTCAATTTAGCGGATCGCATTCTGAGGAACAACCCCCTCAAGCGTTGGAGGGGGCTCCTCGAAAGTATGACTGAAAATGATGACGTCATCAAGGTAAATCAAGCAGGTATCCCATTGGAAGCCTGACAAAACCAATTCCATTAGCCTCTGGAACGTCGCGGGAGCAGAATGAAGTCCCATGGGCAACCGATTAAACTGAAATAGGACTACCGGCGTCCGGAAGGCGGTCTTTGGTTTGGACTCCTCATCTAGCGGCAATTGCCAAAACGCCGACAGCAGGTCTAGCGTTGAAAAATAACGTGCCCCCGCTAAGGCATCCAGAGATTCATCCATTCTGGGGAGCGGATACACGTCAGCCACCGAGATTTTATTTAGGTGGCGGAAATCAACACAAAATCGCAAGGACCCGTCTTGTTTTTTAACAAGAACGATGGGAGCTCCCCATGGACTGGATTAGGGCGAAATGATGTCGGCGGTCAGCATGTCATTAACGGCCGATTGCACATGTTCCTTCTCGGCTGGGCTTAACCGGAAAGGATTCTGCCGAATCGGGGCCGCATCACCCGTCTCAATGTGGTAGCGTAACAGGTCAGTGCACCCAATATCATATTTATGTTTGCTGAATACGTCTGAAAATTCAGTTAGCAGGCCGCGCAGCGCCCCCAATGGCACGCTGGACAGGTTACTGGAGCCCGCACACAATGAGTCCAACCACTGTTGATCTTCCCCCGATTGAAGATGCGGACCCAGAGTGGGATCAACGTGCGCATTGAGCTGCTCATCCATGGGCACCGGCGCCGCGTGCCCTGTGGAATGACGGCTGGCCACGACCCCGCGTTCAAAACCATGACGAATGGATCCCTGTCCGCCCGTACCATCGTCTGAGCCACCGCCAAGTCCAAACCCCCAACAGCCCTGTTCGACGGACCCAACAGCACGCCCTGCTCCGCCGTATCCCCCCCCAAAGGCTTCCATAACCGGAGGGGTACCAGCATCTGCGATCCCGGGGATACGTGCACCGTCCGGGTTGCCAGCGCTTGGACCATCGCACAAACCGTGCGCAGTTTTGTAGGGCTCGACAAAAATGAAATACGGCGACCCGATGGGAGCTCGATACAACCCTGATCGATGAGAATTTTAATCGGCATTTTAGCCAAAAAGTCCGTGCCCAATAAACATGGAACCGCCAGGGAAGAAGAGACCAGAACAGGTCCCACAAATTTAATATCCCCGATACAAATGCTCGCCCGAATCTGGCCGACAATACCCAAGGAGCCCCCGTTCGCCGCATAACATGGCACATCTACCGGGAGCAGGGGTCGACATTGGATGGGGAGAATGTTATAAATAAGGTCAGAAATGATAGTTGCCGACGCACCCGTGTCAACCAGCACCCGGACCTCAACTCCGTCTATAAATCCCGTAACTACGGATGACCCGGCCGACGCAGCCACCATTCTGTGGGCCAACTCAGACCATTTGACTGCTCCCAGCCCCTGTACAAACCCCCCTCGCCGGACTGAATCCCCGGCCCCCATGCGCGTTCCTTCCGCCGCGAAGCGGCGACCCACGTGCGACGTGTATGTGGACCGAGCATGTGTAGTGCCGCGACTTGCTGGGGGTAGGTGGGATGACTTTGGGCCTTGGTCGTCGTCCAGCCGAGGTCCCGTGGCGTGCTGACGCGGAGCGCGGCACCCGGACGCAACGTGGCCGCGAAGGCCGCAGTTGTAGCACATGACGAGAGACGTCGCAGGTTTCGGTTGCTCCAGCTTACGGGCCGATCACAGGGGTGAACGACCTCCAGACCTCCAATCCCCCGGTCTCGCTGTAGCGAATGCCTCTTCCCGAGGTAGAACGACTTGGGGGTCAGCGTCCGCCGAGGTAGGAGTCGAAACCGCGGCTGATGCACAGACGACCGTCCGCTTCCGTTTCAGGACCTCGTGTGCATGGATACTCGTAGAAACCCGCAAGGAACAAATGTCCACCTCGTCCGCCGTGTTGATAGGGACCCCCAGGTCCTGAGCCAACGCCAGCAGCTGTTCCATCACCATGGCGTCCTTCCCCTCCTCGTCCATGCGGGGAAAGGCGGTGTCGGCGAGAGCAAGCAGCGCTGTGCGGTAGGCGAGTGGAGTTTCCGAGTCCCCCTTCCGTCGCCCGTAGAATTGGTGGCGGCAGGCCGAGGGCGGTCCATACACCCTGGCCATGAGGCCCAGCGCGGCTTTGAGAGTGGAGCGGCCCGATCTCGGGGTGGACCTGAAGGCCGCGAGCGCGTCGTCGTCCAGTGTCGCTGGTAGCGCACGTAGCGCCGTAGCGTCGGACCACCCCGACATTTCCTGATGGGCGAGGATCTCCGCTGGAAGGCTCCCCAGTCACCCCCCTCAGCTTTGAAGGCCGTCAACGCAGGAAGTCGCTGTTGAAACACCTGGTCGTCTTCCGATAGATTATTTTCCCGCGCTGCGCCGTCGGTATGAGAAATGGCGGCCCCGTCCATGGGTGGGTCATGGCGACTTTTGGTGCGTGCCGATGACACGGGCGGCGAAGAGTGGAGGTCCCCAGTCACATGGTGGTCGGGATTCCCGCCAACCGAGGGACGATCTGTAAAAATGGCGCCATTTTCAATGTCCGAGGCGCGAAGCGCATTTTGGCGGGAATCTCCAGCGTGTCCCCTCACCACGCTCGCCGTCGTCCTTCCTCCTCCAGATGCGGTGATTTCCGCCAAAATAGAAGCCGCGGCAATTAGCAGCTCCGCCAGGCGCGAGTGCGCATCCTGGAGTCCGGTGTCAGACCCGAACGGAGCGTTGGGCATCCCCGAAAGGTGCTGCGGTGTCGGCATCTCCTCTTCCTCTCCCCCCGAAGCTCGCTGGCCCGATTCGTCGTGGTCGTCTTCCCGGTCTCGCTCGTGGGTACGATTCGTCTTCTTGGTATCCATATTTCGAAGACAGTTTCACTTCTGACGCCAGTTGTAATATCTCAATTACGGCGGGAGACGAGTTGACGGGGCAGCACTTATTTATTAACACTCATGTAACAGTAACAGATACAGCCGAGATACAGCCTACGCTACGCATGTCTAAATCAGCCACGCTCTCAGGCCCTCCGGCTACGCTCTCCCCACAGGGAGCTATCGGGCCTGCCTTGCCAGGCACGGACCCCGGCCTCTGGGTTACACAGCCCAGCCCTTACAAGGACATCGGGCTGTGAATCTCAAGGTCTCGCCTCTGAGCTGCACAGAGTTCCGGCCCTTACAAGGGCAGCGGGGCTAGGGGTCTCAGGGCCTATCTCTTCCTCCGTCTTCTGTCTTCACTGGTAGACTTCTCCCCGAGTGCTGCTGCGCATCGCCTTACATAGCCCTCCGCTCCAGGGGGCGGGGCCTATGCGGACCGCGATGTGGACACCCGCCTGCGGACCACGATGTAGCCACCCACCACGCGCTGTCACACGATCCCCCCCTGTCAGCACGCACCACCTCTACATCTACATCAGCCATACGAAAGAAGAAGACCGAATGGAACCACTTTAAAATGTACAGAGGGCAATATTTTAACTGCAACTGTCATTTTACCACCGAATGACTTAACCCGAGCCACTGTCCAAACCTACACCGCCAAGTGAATGTGCCGCTGGCATCAAAGCTCGTGTAGTAATTAAAGTGCCTTCAGATTATATGTAAGTTGAACTTCTTTCGCACCATACGTAGCCGACCGTGCTTATCGGAGGTGCCGATAAGTATATAGAGAGGGATAGCGGAGTGGTAGGAGCCGGGGTGCATGGTCTGCTGAGGCTATTTCCATGGGGCAGCTGAGAGGAACGTGATTTGAGGTTTGAGCAGATGGAGTATGTTTTTTTTAGTACAGGTGTGGCACATTAGGAATGGATCACTCTTTTAATTATATCCTTGTGCAGCAAGGGAGTAAAGTGTGGTTCTGTGAAGGTCCTGATGTGCTGTGCAGTGCATCAATGCATGTGTGTACAGCAGCATGTGATGACTGAGTCGGGCCTGTAGGTGGCTGGCAGGGTTAATGAATAACCGCACGTGTAAACCAGCCACATGGTTAATGGCGTCTCGGAAGAATTGCTGCGTGTAACACGCGCTGTTGCATTTTACAGGTAAAGGACCCAAAGGTTGTTTTTGATCGTTATATAAATGTTCTAGACTTGTTCTAGACTTGTTCTAGACTTTGAGCTTGGCTTTGAATTGTTCGTTTGTGATATATGCAATTAGAGGCGTTTTAGCACTGTGCATTGTAAAGGGATGACGCACTGTAATTAGTTACTGTCACTGTAATTCTCTAACTCTAATACAGTTTAGTCTATAACCATGCCCATGTACCCAGAGAATGACTACTTGCAATGCTATTGAGAATAGAACACATGTAAAGTAGTAAGCTGTACAATGGTGAGATACAGTACGTATACTGTATACATACAGTACATATAATGGGTGTAATATACCGTTTTAAGTGGAATGTATAGATAGACATACAGCTTAGGATTAAAGCAAGTCGAATAGTGATGTGCAAATGTGATTGTCAAAGACAAGGATGGTTTATCAGTAGTAGAATTGAGTTTAAGAGAAAGGGTTAATGAATAACCGCACGTGTAAACCAGCCACATGGTTAATGGCGTCTCGGAAGAATTTCTGCGTGTAACTCGCACTGTTGCATTTTACAGAGTGACGGTGCGGTTCTTCACAAGATTAATATTAACCAGTCCCTCCAGAAAAACGCGATTATGCGATCGCAAGATTCCACGCAAAATCAGCCAAAGTCCGCATATTTATGCGGGGGGCGCGTTTTTTCAAATACGCCGCACTTTCGCCGCATAAATTGCAGATTTCCGCGCGCAAAATATGCGGGCTTGCATGATTTCATAATCCCCGCATTTTCGTTGCAAAAAGTCACATATATCTTAGCAGAAAGTTGAAAAATGTTGCGTTTACTTCACACAAGCGCAGCCATTTCCCCTGTTGCCATGGGAACGTTATGAAGTGTTAGAGGCTACGTAGTTAGTTTTATTCAGGAGTTTATGCAACTTTACAGTTGTAAGATTGCACTTTTTTGTTAGTAGTATGTACATTTACATTACTGTAAGACTGTACTGTTACTGTATTGCTTACGTTACTGTGCACTGAAAACACTTATTTTAACAGAAGATGTCTGTTTTGTATAGCTACCTCTGTAAAACAGGAAGCACACATTTTATTTTTTAATATTTTATTTATTCATTTTTACAGAAGTTGTAGCATATTCATTTTGTAAAGCTACAGAACTTGTTCGACTCAATGTTTTGTAAGTTTGAGCCATCTGTTTGTTAAGGTCTGAAATAAAACAAGATGAGAACTTAAATATCCCCAGCACTTTCTGTGATGTAGTATGCTTGCTTATCATAAGTTCCCGCAATTTTTGCAAGTTCCCGCAATTTTTGCAAGTTCCCGCAATTTAATCGCATAAAATTGCATAAATATCCCGCATATTCCATCGCATTTTTTAAGAAAACGTGCCGCATAATCAACGATTTTTGCCCGCAACAATCACCAAAAAACTCCGCGTTTTTCTGGAGGGACTGATTAACTACAATAAATAAATGTGCTTGCCCTCGATTTGGAGCACCTGCCCACGTCCTTCATTTCGAGTGTGCAACACAGGCCCAAAAATGCCTAGCAACAAACAGCACTATTGAAGGTGTAATAGAGAGTGACCTTTGCTGCACTGTCACGTGTTAAGTGAGCAGGCAAGCGGCTCCTGTGGAGGTCTCTGTGGTCACCTCTCCAATCGCTATCCAAGCCCAACCCTGCCACATGCTTCCCAGATCTGACTCGAGACCGTGCAGGCGCAATTAGGAGCGATTAAAGCTTTTGCCAGTGTACACACACACACGTGGCCATTATTCATAGTACAGAAACATTGCTATAAAGAAGGGCATTGCCCAAAAGGTCACCGCAATCATCTTGTTTCTTGGTGGTGGCACCCTTTTTTGTTTATCGATGGCATCTGAATTGGGTCAGCACGCCGCACACGTGCGTTAAACGTCAGGATTGTAAACGCACCAGTGAAGTGGTTTGTTTCACCCGTTAATAGAGATCAGCAGTGTCGAGAGCCCAGTGTTTCTGGAATGCATGTGGAGATTTTGGTGGAGCAAATGACGCAATGGCCGTCTCAATTGACTGCGAGGACGAAGCGAGCGGTCATCAGGCTGTGGCGGCGGCGTCGTCGTCGCTCGCGCGTGGCCGAGGGAAGGTGGCGGCGTCCCGAGGACCCTTGCTTGTGCAGAGTTGGCGGGCGATTGCAGACTGCAGAGATCGGGGGGGGGGGGGGGGGGCTGATCCTCGTCAACACCAAGGTCGGCCGCCAGTGAGTCCGCTAAGAGTTGTAAGTTGAACTTCTCACGCACCGCACGTTGCCAACCGTGCCGATTGGCGAGTTGGTAGGACGACCACACTACAAACTCCACACCAATCACAATTATGTGAGCACCTGATCGACCAAGTGAAGGCCGCGTTGTGCGGTAATCGGTGTCTGCGCCTGTTCGCCGCCATTTGCACAGCCTGCAGCACTATCCGGCTGGTGTGGTGTGCGAACCCTCTCTCTTGTGCATTTCACGACACGTCATGCGCTTTATTTGTTTGAACCGCAATTTATTTTGCAAGGTGAAACGCATGCAAAGCACCATGCATGCAAATATTACTACGTGACATCTCCCAAACTCCGCGTGAGAATGCATTTGTTTTATTCTGCTTGTTTTACTCAGAGACGTCTCACCAAGTCTCAAGGCTCTTTTTCAAGAGGCACCTGCCGAGTTTTTTTCGCAATAGGGAAGCGATGTTGCTGCTGTTTGCGTGATCCCAATTGAGTAATTTGGAGGTAATTTTTTGTAATTGGGGATGATTTGACCAAGACCATTAATTGCACATTGTACGTCTTTTGTAGCTGTACGAGAAATCAAAGAACTCGGGGGAAAGCCAAGCAGAACTGGGTGCGAACGTACAAACTCTACACGGCACAAGTGTTACCACCGCGCCTCCCGTTGCGGACAAGGACAAGAGAATGTCACGGTGGACATATTTACAAAGTCCCTTTTTTACAAACGGCTCGTGTCAATTCCATTGCTTGTTATCAAACAGGGCGCCACTGTCACCCACAGGGGGGAGGAGGGGTGGGGGCGACAAAATCCAGGTCTTATATTGCCTCTTTAATAGGATGAGGAGCTGCCGCTGCTGCCGGGTAATTTCTTGCGCTGCTGCTGCCTCCTTAATAAGTGTGCGCAGAGGAGTGTGTGGCCCTCCTCTCTACTCTCTACCTGGAAGTTCACCAGCACCGAGGGCCTACTGCTGCCACTGCTGACCGCGCGTGACAATCGCCTGCGCGTGGGTCACCGTCACATCCGGTAATGGCGGTGTGCCATACCAAGAGACACCGAGTGTCTTCTTTTGAATGTTTCTCTAACGTTTGTGCCCTATGAATTCAATAAAAAAAATGTGAAAACTGCGGACTGAGCTTTCACTGAAACCTTTATCGTCCACTAAAAAACTGGGAGGCCAAATGCAAAGTTCACACTGGGCGCCAACTAAGGCCAGCCCTGCATTCTGATCGCCGCGTGGTCGGCGCCACAGCATTGGGAAGTGCCCCGTGGAACCGGAGGCGACGGCTTTCGCGTGGTGCCCGTGCGCGTGTCGTCGCACGGTGGCCCGCTCAATATATTTTTCGAGGTTGGCAGCAGTCAACGGCTCCAGCGGAGGTCAGGAGCCACTCCTCCACACCGACTTGGAACAACTGAGATTTCGTCAAAGCAAGTGGCATTAACTGTAACATTGACTGCCGCTCCCACTGCTAGGTGAGGGTTTCCTCCCTGGGGAGTTCTTTGACCATACTTTGCCAAGCTGGTTATCGCAGGACAGTGAAGCGGAGGCCCAGGACTGGCTGGGCACTTACTTGCCACCAATGTTAGTCATAGCTGAGGATGGGTTCACGGTGGAGGGTGCTCGCCACAGCGCCACCGCTCCCTGCCCCGATCTACGTTGCTCACAGTTCCGTCTGCGTTACGGCAACCGAGTGACGTTTCTGTAAATATTTGTGTATTTTTAAAAAATCTATTCTGTTATTGCTCAAATTCCTATTTGCCTCATTGTACTTTATCTCCTATTGCTTTTGCCATTTGGGTGACCTATGGCCCTCTTGCAAACGAGACAAACATCGAGTGATTGTGCACGTGCCGCGTGATTCCACGGACGAAGATGGGTGAACATCATCAGCATTCCTACGTAAAAACCGATGCCATTGAGCGTAAACAAAGCTGCTTATGTATGTACGCTGAACTTCTTTCGCACTGTACGTAGCCAACCATGCTAATCGGAGGTGCGGGGGAAGGACAAAAAACTAAACACAAAAAGCATTTCCAAAGAAATTAGTTTTCAACCGAGATAATTGAAAAGTGTATAGCTCCCAGTAGCTTCCTAATAGCGCACAGAAGAGCGTTTCTGACAGGCCGCAGAAGCAATCTACTTAGCGACTATCCCATGACATGCGGTGGGACACCCCGTTGAATGCGCCTCCGAGCTCAGAACACCGTCTCGTCCTGACGACTCATGACGATGATCTTGGCCAGGTTCTGTCGGACGGTGTCCCAGCGACACACCACCATTTTAAGGTCGGAGTCCATCTCTTTGAAGGCATCCTCCCCCCAGTGGCTGGGCCCATCCTTGTTGTCCACGCCGCCGCCATTGTTCTTCCTGCGCCAGTTGGCCTCCTTGATCTCCTCGACCCTGCGGTAGAACGCTCGCCGCACGCGGCCCCTGACTCGTGACGCCTTCCTGACAGTCCTCACTCGCGGTATCCACTGCCATCTCAAAACGCAGCAGCAGGACCATCAGCGGGAGCAGCAGCAGATGCACCACAGCTAGAGCTAACGCCCAAAACATACAAGTTACATCCGTAACATGAACATTCATTCCAACCCCGTATCTATGGGACCGTTTTTTTCCAGTATCAAGATACTGAATGATAGAAAATGGTTTACCCTTTCTGACAAATATACGCGGTGTTTAGATGTTTAAATACCAAATAGACACACTATTATAAGGCATCGAGTCTGCATTAACCACAAATTCTTGTGGTAAAAAATGCAGATATTCCTCGATGATGTATGCATCGTCCTTGATACCCATCATCTCTCCAGCGGTTGGGCAATGGAAAGCCTCGCCTCTTTCCTCCACTGGCTCAAACTGCAAGCGAGGAGATGAGCACCAATTCCTCGATGCCCATCAGAGCCGGAGGTGGCTCCGACTCTACCCACAGTGCCATGTGAACCACCAATTACATCCCGCGCTCGAAACTGGAAAAAACCTCAACGTGTGGAATTGCCAGGGGTGAGCTTAGCGGGGAGCTATGCTGCTTACCCGAGGTACCAGATGTTTTTGTTGTAGCCGAGCAAATTCCCGGGCACGCCGGAACGGTGGCGCAGGGACTTGGGTATGCGGCGTTCCAACAGCAGCGTGCTCGCGGCGATCTGACGTTGAAAATACAACCGCAGGATTCACTCTGTCAATTTTCCAGTGTCCACGGTACAAGAGGGGGTGGCGAGGGAGGGAGAGAACGTGTGTGCTGCGTCGCTTATTGGGCGTCATCTGTCTGGTGGGCGACTACGTAGAGTGCACCGTCCCCTCGCGGTGCTGACACCTCGACGAATGAGGAGTGGTGAATAACAGAACCGGCGCGCACGTTGTGAGACACTGGTGAGCGCCGTTAATCTATATCCCAACAGGGGCGAGCGTGGGCGTGGGATGGGGTAGCATGGGGACAGGCGAGCATGAGGATGAGCGTGCGATCGATAGCTGCACCGGCAAAAACTGATGAGGACAGAGTGCTCGCGTGCATCACCTGGATCTTCCAGGTCTCCATGCGCTCGTGAGCCACTCGCCAGAAGGTGTCGTCCATGGTGGCGATGAGGAGGTTCAACATGAGCAGGTATGCGAAGATCATGTAGACAATGAAGATGAGGTAGATGACGTAGGGCGTGTGCCGGTCGTAAGGCACAGGCAACTCGATGAGTCCCATCATGAGCTCGATGGCCGTGAAGAAGGTCACAGCGAAGTTCTGGAAATTGGGGTAGACCCTGGAGTCCAGCGTCTGGAAGACGACGTAGAAGCCTAGGAACGAGTCGATGGCATTTCAACGCGGCTCACCACTGCTTACTATGCTCACGGCAGTTCGCGGCAGCTCGCAGCAGCTCACCACAGCTCACCACAGCTCACAGCAGCTCACAGCAGCTTACCGCACTCACAGCAGCTCAGAGAAGCTCACCACAACTCACCACGGCTCACCGCAGCTCATCGCGCTCACTGATTAGCATGAGGCACTGTTCCGGCACAGTGCTCCCAAGGCCGGCCTGCCTCATGCTAAACAACAAACACCCATGATGGCGGTTGGGATTTATGCTGAATATCTAAAACGATTACAGGCAAGGAAAGATGTTGTCGAGAAGATACTTCTACATCCGGAGTGATTTCATCTGCGGACGTGCCTCATGATTGGCCATCGCAACGTCCGGAGGTGAAATCGACCACACTCAGAGTAGTAGCGTCTTCTTGGTGAGATCATTCCTTGTGGGCGCTCGGCACGCAATCGCGAACGTGGGAGTTCACATCCCGGCCTAGGGTCAATTCGGCCCTCACCTCTGGGGGGGGGGGGGGGGGGTCGATAAAATGAGTACCGCTTTGCGGAATATGAGCGTCGATTGATTTTTGTTTTTCCCTTCCTGCCGGAGAGACGGGTTCCTGCTGGTAGAGAACGGAGCTCGTCCTGGGCGCCTCTGTGCCGTCGACGGCGACGAGCACTTGCCAAGTGAAGAATGGCGACCTGGGTGTTGGGTGACTCATGGGGGATGGTGGGTGGGGGGGCACTCACCGGCGGTGAAGCCGAACACGCAGATCACCAGCAGGCAGCACCAGCGCATGAGGTCGCCGAATATAATCTGGAGGAACACGCCCGTTGAGGGATGTCACGGTGGATAGGACATATTAACTACCACGTCTGGTATGCAGGAGATCGTGTGTTCGATCGTGACCCTGACGCCTGCTGTGGGTTTTTCTCCAGGTCCTCCAGTTTTTCCCGCCACATTTAGCATCGACATCACACGTGCAGAGTATTTGGCTCCTGATATAAATTTCCACACGATGAGCCATTTGTGATTGCCAGGTTGCTTACTGAAAAAGTGCTACGTAGCTCAGTGGGGCCTGACCTGGTAAAATAAAAAAATGTTTATCATGTATAGAGACTGCGCTTTGCACGACGTGACACGTTAGCCCATCTTCTTGGTTCTTTCGGTAAAGTCACGTAGAAGGGAAGTAATAAAATAATAAAAATAAAACATAATAAACTAATTCTCATGACGTTTCGGCCACAACGCAAGCAGCCATCCTCAGGTGAGTCTAAATGACACGTCTTAGGCTTGGAGTGTCTATTTAAGCTGTGAGGGAGGAGGAAGAGAGCCTTGACAAAAGAATTTGCATTTGAAGAGGAATTTAGCATATTTATGGGAAATGCAGGAATGCGAATAGTGCTAATTGTGAAATGCGTGGGAGGTGGGCGGGGGGTTTTCAAAGTCATATTATGCCCATGCATTATGCAGGATTAGCAGCATCAAAGGGAGGGGGCAGGGGCAGCACCAACAAAGGGAAGGAATGTGAATAGTATGGAGCTGCAGCAACCAAACAACCACGTAAAAAACTAAAGTATAAACTCCATAGTATTATCAGTATACTAAATATACTCTCCAATAAGCTGAGCTACTAACAGTAAGTAATACATTACAATTCTACGTCGCAAAAAATATAATATGCTTCCAGCTAAACTTTTTTCCCTTACATCAAACAGGTCTGCCCCGTACTATATGCTGCCATAGACAAACCCAACATTAAATTACATACTGTATTACTATACACCACCCTTATACATTGTTATATTACACTGTGTATTATTCTACCCACCCTAATGTATATCACACTGCTATATATTCACTATACAATTACGATACTATATATTACTTTGTACATTGTATTAAGCATATAAATGTTATACTATTTGTTATTATACACTGTACCATTGACCGTCGTGTGAAAGATACTAAAAGGCAGCAACGAAATATGACAATGGGAGAGCAAAGAATCCATTCCCAGCGGAGAATACAATGCCAGTGAGTGGAACGCGGTCTGAGAGTCACCGTAAACGTGAACACAATCAGTTAAGATCCGAAATGGTTTATTACGTCCTTCCAATGATTGCTAAGCCAGAATCCATCTTCTCGGTTGAAATTGTCTCTGTGTTTGTATATGTGGATCGCCTCATGAACGAATCTCTTATGATAGCCAGATGGCTTGCAGAGAACCTCTGTCTTGGAGAAGTCAATGTCATGTGAGCCCACTGAATTGTAACAGTGATCTGCCACAGCTGAGGCGTTTGTCCTACCGTGTTTCAGGTCTGCTTTATGTTCACGGATGTGGTCCGAGACATGTCGTTTGGTTTCTCCAATGTAACTGCTACCACAGAGGCAACTTAGTTTGTAGACGCCAGGGTACTGTATGTCTGGAACCACATCTTTTACAGACGGGACCAGATCACGGATTTTATGTACTGTGTTGAATCGGACCTGGATCTTGTGTTTAATCAGGATTTTGGAGATCTTTTTTGTGACCCCAGCAATGTAGGGTAAGGTGATGGTCTTGAAAGGCTCCTCAACAGGATCCTTCTTGATGGTTGGAGTGATGGCCTTGCTGATTGTGTAGTCGGAGTAACCATTAGCCTTAAGAGCTTGGCGTACGTGTTTGAGTTCACTGGCAATGTGTTCCTGGTCGGAAATGCATTGGGCTCTATGGTATAGAGTCTTGATGAGGGAATTCTTCTGGGATGGATGGTGGTGGGAATCCGGTTTTAGGTAAGCATCCGTATGGGTGGCTTTCCTGTAGACAGAGTGGCTCATTGAACCATCAGGTCTACTTTTAATTAGGACATCCAAAAAGGGTAGCTTGCCATCTTTTTCGACTTCCATGGTGAATCTGATGGCTGGGTGTATGGAATTGATGTGGTCGAGAAATTGGTCTAGAGCAGGCCGGCCATGTGGCCAGATGACAAAGGTGTCGTCTACGTACCTCTTCCATAAGGTCGGGCGTAGAGTGGCAGTCTGGATGGCGTCAGTCTCAAATTTCTCCATGAAGATGTTGGCTACAACCGGAGATAGGGGGGAGCCCATTGGGGTGCCCTCAGTTTGCTTGTAGAAAGTTACATTCCAGGTGAAGTATGTATTGGTTAAGCAGTGTCTCACCAGGGAGGGTACCCCAGCATTCAGTCCTTGATGAACCAAGTCTTCAATGATTGCGATGGTGTCAGGTACAGGAACTTTGGTGAATAAGGAAACCACATCAAAACTGACAAGCAGGTCGTCTGGGGACAGGGCAATCCCCTTCATTGTCGATACCAGGTCAGTAGAGTTTAGTACCGCAGAGGTGGTTTTTCCAGTGAAAGGCCGTAGGATATTGGAGAAACCAAACAACATGTCTCGGACCGCATCCGTGAACATAAAGCAGACCTGAAACACGGTAGGACAAACGCCTCAGCCGTGGCAGATCACTGTTACAATTCAGTGGGCTCACATGACATTGACTTCTCCAAGACAGAGGTTCTCTGCAAGCCATCTGGCTATCATGAGAGATTCGTTCATGAGGCGATCCATATATGCAAACACAGAGACAATTTCAACCAAGAAGATGGATTCTGGCTTAGCAATCATTGGAAGGACGTAATAAACCATTTCGGATCTTAACTGATTGTGTTCACGTTTACGGTGACTCTCAGACCGCGTTCCACTCACTGGCATTGTATTCTCCGCAGGGAATGGATTCTTTGCTCTCCCATTGTCATATTTCGTTGCTGCCTCTTAGTATCTTTCACACGACGGTCAATGGTACAGTGTATAATAACAAATAGTATAACATTTATATGCTTAATACAATGTACAAAGTAATATATAGTATCGTAATTGTATAGTGAATATATAGCAGTGTGATATACATTAGGGTGGGTAGAATAATACACAGTGTAATATAACAATGTATAAGGTGGTGTATAGTAATACAGTATATAATTTAATGATGGGTTTGTCTATGGCAGCATATAGTACGGGGCAGACCTGTTTGATGTAAGGGAAAAAAGTTTAGCTGGAAGCATATTATATTTTTTGCGACATAGAATTGTAATGTATTACTTACTGTTAGTAGCTCAGCTTATTGGAGAGTATATTTAGTATACTGATGATACTATGGAGTTTATACTTTAGTTTTTTACGTGGTTGTTTGGTTGCTGCAGCTCCATACTATTCACATTCCTTCCCTTTGTTGGTGCTGCCCCTGCCCCCTCCCTTTGATGCTGCTAATCCTGCATAATGCATGGGCATAATATGACTTTGAAAACCCCCCGCCCACCTCCCACGCATTTCACAATTAGCACTATTCGCATTCCTGCATTTCCCATAAATATGCTAAATTCCTCTTCAAATGCAAATTCTTTTGTCAAGGCTCTCTTCCTCCTCCCTCACAGCTTAAATAGACACTCCAATCCTAAGACGTGTCATTTAGACTCTGTTTTATCGACAGACATGTTCTTCACCTGAGGATGGCTGCTTGCGTTGTGGCCGAAACGTCGTGAGAATTATTTTATTATGTTTTATTTTTATTATTTTATTACTTCCCTTCTACGTGACTTTACCGAAAGAACCAAGAAGATGAATCCCTGCAGTCACGAAAGCTTTAAATCGAAACGTTAGCCCATGGCGAAGGTCAATGCCGTCGTGGCATGACACGGACGCCGCCGACGACCACCGATGACAGACCGAATGTATGAGAACAGAATCTGCCTGACAAGGCCGAACAAACAAGCGTCCCGGGGCAAAGTAATGGCATCGCGCGTCGTGGACAACATCGAGAGAAGTAAGCGAAGTCCTGGTGGTGGTCGTGGTGGCGGTGGCACTGGTGACGGTGGTGGCGGTGGTGGCGGCGGCGGTGGCGGTAGTGGTGGGGGTGGCGGCAGTGTTGACGGTGGTGGTGGTAGTGGTTGTGGTAACTGTGGTGGCAGTGGAGGCGGTGCTGGCGGCAGCAGTGGCAATGGCGGCGGCACCTTCTGGATCATGATAGAGAAGGGGCCCAGCAGCTCGAAGCCGCGGGCGAAGTACAGCGTGTTACACCAGCCGAGCACGAGCGCCAGGGACATGGCGATCGACTCCCCTTCGTGGCTCATCACCCGCAGCACCATGATGATGGCGATCAGGCACGAGTAGCAGACCCTGCATGGACACGGGTGCCACGATGACATGCAGAGGACACGGAGCCGAATATTTGGAGTCGGCCAAACATCGCAATGTAGGACTGTAGAGATCTCAGGCAATCGTTGGTAGCACCGTATCTGGCCGCATTCCCACTTATCTGTGGTGTCTTCTGCGTTACCAATCTACAGCGGTGTTTTGAGACACGGTTTGCATGAATGACGCCATGTAGATACAAACACAATTATAATAAATATTGTTAATATTAGTGCCAGTGACTTCTGTGTGGCCACCTCCACTCTTAATCCCTCCCCTCTCCCCGCCGACCCGTAAAAACAGACCCCGCTCCATGCAGTAGCGTCGAGGCCCTTGTGTAGCCTCTTCCTCCCGATCCTTATCTCTCTGGACCCATTGCTCCTATTTTTACATTCCTTTGCCCTCCTTTTCCTCTTATTTCCTAGTCTTATTTCTGTTCATTATATCCTCAACTCTACTCCTCTTCCTGTAGTGTCGCTATAGGTGCAGCAGTTGCTCGTTTCCCACAATAATTGTGTTCAAATTAATCACGGTGCCACAGTGGCTAGGAGATGTTCAGAGTGGAGAGGTGTTAACTACCTCGCCTGGCATGCAGGAGGGCGTGGGTTTAAACCCAACCCCTGACGCCTGTTGTATATTTGGAGTTTGCATGTTTATCTATCAAGTGGTCACGTGGATTTTTCTCCGGGTCCTCGGTGTTTCCCTCCACCTTTAGAATCAACGTGCATTTAGAGTATTTGGCTACTGCTATACATTTACACATGATATGCCACTTGGTTGAGCAATCGTATGTGGCCAGGTCGTTTCTGAAAAAGAGCTACATAGCTCAGTGGGCCTTACCTGGTGAAATATAAATGGAATAAAATCAATAAATCACATTGTCGGAAAAGTGAATAGTGGGCGATGTGTTGGTAGATTTGCCCCCATCATAAGAACACGGAATATTCACCACTGCTCATGGCAGGACAGCACTCGTGACGTTGAGTCGCCATGACGACCGACACAGTACGGACTGTGGGTTTAGAACAAAAACCTGGCACTCAGTACCGCTGACGCAAGCAGACCAGGAGTGGTGAGGAACAGCCAAACAACCCCCACAACCGACAGGGCCTGAGGAGGCGTTCATTTCGCAGTGGATTGACAAAGGGCAGTTAATGATATACTATTATTGTCATTATTATATTAGCGATGTTAGATATGGACAATCGGGGGACATCTCAAATGTAATATGTTAAATTTCTTTCGCAATCATACGTAGCAAACTGTGCTAATATGAGGTGCGGAGGAAGAGAATAACAAACTAAACACAAAAAGCAGTTCTAAAGAAACGAGTTCGTCAATCGAGATGATAAAATTATTTATAGTTCCAGTGGCTTCTTAATATCGGAAGGAAGAGCATTCCAGACGGCTGCAAAAGTTCATCTGAAAGTGCGCGATGCGGTGACCGACTTTGTCCGATGGTTAGCCAAAAAACGAATGCGAGGATGACCGGAGTTTGCGTCATGGTTTTTGCTCAAAAGGAGCGGTGATCCGGTCGTGTTTCATCTGAGCAGCACGGCCGTGGGAAGCTCTGCATGGATGCTACACTTCATCTCACGTCATCTCGGAGCACTGCGCAGATCTTCAGATTCGCCAAGAACACACGCCGGTTCATCCTCTTCATGGAGTTTTGACTGACCAAATTTTCAGTGCTGTTACCGCATCGGTTTTTCATTACACAAGCCCTGTTGTTTTTGCGTGTGGCAGCAACTCACATGAGCACTGGGAAGGGTCCTCCGATCACTGTGTTTTTGCAGTAATTCTTGGGCCCGATTTTAATGATGTACGGCACCTGAATTCGCACGCAACATAAAATGACATCAGTCAGCGGAACAGCCTCACCCGTGGTCACAATTGCAGGCAGGATATGTGGGATATTACGTTCGAATAACAATGCCCCCTCCCTTAATTCCAAGGCACTTTGAAGCGCATTCAAATGTTGTGTTAATTCAGAAAGCGTGCGTCTGTAGCTTAGTCGACGCATCCGTCTTGCCCAGGAGCGTTTCCTTTGCTCTCATGGCTGCTGCTGCCGCTGCTGCCACTGCTGCTATCACTCCCTTCCTCAACATACTCACGCTCGGCCGCAAGCCTCCCTTTCATTGGAAAGGTCTCAGAACGAGTCTTCGTAATGAGCATGGGTCGTCTAGAGCAGGGGTCGGCAACCGAAATGACGAGACTTTTTTTTCGAGCTCGGTAAAAAAAACTCAATATTTCAAGAGCGGTAATGCACTGTGGTGAATACGAACGAGATGCTGATCCTTCATAAAAACGTCACAAATCAGCCTTTAAAGAGCCACAGATTGCCAACCCCCTGGTGTAGAGGAGCCGCTCGCAAACTTTTTCGAGCATGCGGACTCCGTTGCAACCTCCAAACATTTCGATGGCACTGCCACGTGCCCAAGCTAGGTCTCAAACCTCCCTTTCCTTAAAATACCCAGGCTGTTTGAAATTGTACATTTTCCCTCGGTGAGTATATTATTATTTACATTTTCCGCACCCCACTGCAGTCGCCTCGCGGACCACTGGGGGTCTGCAGCCCACAGGATGGGCCTTATCTGGTAAACTACAAATATTAGTAGTAGCTGCTCGACACAAGTGCCGTTACTAGAGCAGTGCTCTTCAGAGGGGGGTACTTTCGCCTATAAAAAATAATTAGTGTGAGGGCCGCCACACATTTTAAACCATTCGGGTTTTGATGATGATGATGGGGGGTGTTTTCACATTGTGTGTATTGTCGGGAGGGCCACACGTCAGGGGCCGCACTAAAGGCCACTGGGGGCTTGCGCCAGTGGCCCGCGGGGGCATTGCAAATGTAGAACACTGCCCGAGAGGTTGTGAACTCGGACGAGGGGTTGTAGCTGTTGACCTCCAGGTAGAGGATGACGGCCGCCCCCATCACTGTTATGATCTCCCCGAGCAGGCGCACGAAGTCCTCCTTGGTGGAGTAGGCCTCCTGCACAGGGCCGCCACGCAACACATCACCGCCATCAGCAGCAGCACAGAGCCGCATAAGTCACTCCGCACCTCCGATGAGCACGGTTGGCTAAGTATGGTTCGAAAGAAGTTCAACACATACATACAGCACCAAAGACAAAAAGCCCCTGTGTATCCCACGTGGACCGTGGACACAAGTGCCGTTGGTGAGCACCTATGTATGTCAAACTTCTTTCGCACCATGCGTAGCCGTACGAAGCCAACCGTGATAATCGTACACGCATACTTTCGCCCAGACTGCGCCGTACCGAACTGTGTTTGGTATGGCGTGCAGTTGCCATTAGGGCGTCCACACACGGTGCGTTGTCGCTGCCACCGCTGGATGAAGGCCTCCGGACGCCACGTGGGCCATGGGGGCTGTGCAGTTGAAGTATGGGAATTGACGGCAGGAACTTCTTGACGGGTAACACACTTTTATTAAATCCTTTAGGTATCACAATACAACGTGTGGTCTCTCTTCTTCCTCCGACACACTCCACTAATCTCGTGTAAGCTCTAGGCCTCTGGCTACACCCGATACACTTGACTCGTGTAGACCCTATGCCTCTGGCTACACACAATATACTCGACTCGTGTAAGCCCTATGCCTCTGGCTACACAATACCCTCGACTCGTGTAAGCCCTATGCCTCTGGCTACACAATACACTCGACTCGTGTAAGCCCTATGCCCTGGCTACACATAGTACATTCGGCTCGTGTAGACCTATGGCTACACCCACTACACTCGCCTCTGGGTTACACAGAGTCCCGGTCCCCTTAGGACAGCGGGGCTAGGTACCGCAGGGCTCTAGGTCTTCATCCCCGTCTTCCTTCTTCGCTGGTTACACACTGCTCTTACGCCTGTGTGCATCCCCTTTTATAGCCCCTGCTCACGAGGGACGGAGCTGATGCGGCGTCGACGTGAGCGTCGTTCCTTAATGACCCAATCACGACGCACTCTCTCTACGATCCGCTTTCCCCAGCGCGTGTTAACATTACTCCACCAATCACACTGCGCTGCCACCTGATCACTCCCTCTCAGCGCGTCACCACCTACACAGCCAATCATCACGCACTGTGCATACGATCCTTAATCCCAGCGCGTATCACCTCTACATCACCCCCTCCCACATAGCTTGCAGCCGGCCCGGCTGTTAACCTACAACACAACATAACGCAACGCAGTAATAAAGAACTCCACATCCCAGTGTGCCCCGTAACACAACAACAACAACATAACACAACCTTAAATATGAAGCAATATACAGCCCGACGAACAACACAATAAAAGCGAACACCGTAAAACGAACGCGCCAAGTGTCACTGTGACCCACGCAGTGCCGAGGCGCTCCGGCTGCCTCGACTCCGCACGTGGTAGGTTACACAAAGTAGCGCGACCTAGCGCGAGTCCGTCTGGCCGGTCCGTCGTATGGAACGGGACGTTGGCGACCGTCCGGTGTCTCCGGCAGCTCTAGACGGCACGGGTCGGGCCTGGAAGGACCGGCCCCGCCGTGAAGATCCGGCCGCCGGTGGTCGGCAGCAGTCAGTTCCGAGACACCTGGGAGCGGATCAGGCGGAGACATGTGAGGAGCAGGCAAGGACAATTCCCCCTCAGGGTCGTCGGTCACGTCACATGCTCGGCCCTCACGACACAAGGGGAGGCCATACGGAGGCGAGAACGGTTTCAGTCGGGAGGGGTGGACGTACCAACGGCGTTTCCCCCATTTTATCTGAACGCACTGGGGGCGTGCCACCCGCACGACCTCCACGGGTCCCCGCCACGGCTTCAACAATTTAGGCGACGTGGCCAAAGGTGCCTGAGGGCAATGCAGCCAGGCCTTGTCACCTGGTTCCCAATTGTGCACGGACACCTTCCGTGCCCGCAACCGCTCGTTCGCAATTTGGCGAGCCCGCGAATTAAGCCGTGCGGCCTCCCTTGCCTCTGTCAGTTTATGAATATTAAATTTAATATGCTCTGCCAATTTAGAATTAGTTCGTGGTGCGGGCAGACCCAGCTGCGTTTCCATGGGCGGGTCGGCTTCCCGACCGTACATTAGAAAAAACGGGGAAAACCCCGTAGCTGCATGGGGGGCCATTCTATACGCGGCAAGGACCCCAGGGACCTGCAGGTCCCAATCAACATGCGACTCACACACCTGCTGGCACAGCATAGAGGTCAATGTCCTGTTAAGCCTCTCCACCATCCCGTCCGTCTGCGGGTGGTACGGGGAGGTACGCACCTTTTTGGTACCCAACAGGTCGCACACCTCCTGCAGTAATTTACTCGAAAAATTTTTCCCTTGGTCAGTCAGCAAGCGTTCGGGAGCCCCCTTGTCCAGGACGTAGCCCTGGACAAAGGCGTCCGTCACAGCCGCCGCCGACTGGTTGGCGAGTGGCCACGCCATAGGCCACCGGGTAAAATATTCGACCCCCACCAACAGGTACTTATTACCCCTAGGCGTGACCGGAAAGGGCCCCAGAATATCGAGTGCAACGAGCTCGTTAGTGCGCGAGACCTGAATAGATTGCAGCGGTGGATTAGCTGCCACGGGCGGTGGTTTCCGTCTGGCGCACTCAACACAACCCTTCAGAATATTCACCACGTCACCCCCCATTCCCGGCCAATAATAGTCACGCTGAAGCAGGGCAAGCGTTTTGTTAACTCCCAAATGCAAGAGGCGTTCGTGTGCGGCCAAGACAACCTTCCCCCTCACAGCAGAAGGCACCACAATCGCATGCCGCCGGGACAAACTGTCCCATCTCATCAACAGGCCCTGCTTAAGCTCGTAGGAGCCAGTTCGGTCGTGGCTACCTTCGGAACCCTCCGTCTTTCGGCGCAATGCCAGCAGGGAGCTGTCCGCCATTTGGAGACGGCCCCACTCAATCAACGACAGTGAGAGCAGCGAGTCCTGACCCCCTGGGGTAGCGGGACCATCCCCAATTGGTGTGCTCGCGGTCGCAACCAACGCCTCCCTACCTTCCGTAACCGGAGGTTTACAGCGCGCCGATCCCGATAAGCACGCACATTTGTGACAAGGCAACAACCGCGACAGGGCATCGGCATTCGTGTGTCGCAACCCTTTACGGTACGTAGTCGTGAACTGATAGTCCTGGAGGACTTCCAACCACCGCGACAATTGGCCCGAGGGCTGGGCAACCCGTAATGAATACTGGAGCGCCGCATGGTCCGTCCGGACCGTGAAATGACGACCATAGAGATATGGCCTGAATTGTTGTACAAAAAAAACAATGGCAAGTAGTTCACGACGGGTGACGCAGTAGCGCTGCTCTGCCGGCGACAACACCCTGCTACCATAGGCGACCACCCGTTCGACCCCTCCAACGACTTGGGACAGCACTCCCCCAATGCCCGTGTTGCTAGCATCCGTGTCTAGCAAGAAGGGACTCTCAAAGTCCGGATAGCACAAGGGTGGGGCCCTTACCAAGGCGTCCCGGAGGGAGCAGAATGCAGCCTCCTCCTCCGGTCCCCACCGGAACTTCACTCCTTTCGCCGTTAAAGCGTGCAAGGGCTTTGCAATGGTGGCGAAGTGCTCAACGAATCGGCGATAATACGAAGCAAAACCGATGAAACTGCGCACGTCTGACACTGACGTGGGCGTCGGCCACGAACTGACACAGTCCGTCTTCGCAGGATCGGTAGAAATCCCCGAAGAGTCGACAATGTGACCCAAGTACCTCACGGATTTACGAAAAAGATGGCATTTGGCCGGTTTAAACTTTAATTTAGCCGATCGCATTCGCAAGAACACCCCTCTCAATCGCTGGAGGTGTTCTTCGAACGTTTTACCGAAAACAATGACATCGTCAAGGTAAATGAGGCACGTCTCCCACTGCAAGCCCGACAAAACCAATTCCATAAGACGCTGAAACGTCGCAGGAGAGGAGTGAAGTCCCATGGGTAACCGGTTAAACTGAAACAGGCCCCCTGGAGTCCGGAATGCAGTCTTAGGCTTAGACTCCTCGTCGAGTGGCAACTGCCAAAATCCGGACAATAAATCAAGAGTCGAAAAGTATCGCGCACCGGACAATGCATCGAGAGACTCGTCCATCCTGGGGAGCGGATACGCGTCGGCCACCGAGATCTTATTCAGGCGGCGGAAATCGACGCAAAATCGCAGGGACCCGTCCTGCTTTTTAACGAGCACAATAGGTGCTCCCCAAGGACTGGAAGAAGGCGAAATAATGTCGGCTTCCAGCATATCGTTAACTGCCGACTGAACATGTTCCTTCTCAGCAGGACTCAGTCGGAAGGGATTTTGCCTGACCGGTGCCGCATCGCCCGTTTCAATGTGGTGGCGTAGCAGGTCCGTGCATCCGATATCATACTTATGTTTACTGAAGACATCCGAAAATTCAATCAGCAACCCGCGCAACGCACCCAACTGTAGCGCTGACAAATCGTCAGAGTCCGCGCACAGCATATCAATCCAATCTAGGTCCTCCTTTGATGGTACGCTATTCGTGGGGCTCGGATCAGCCTGCGCAACCAGCCTCTCCTCCGCAGGGACCCGTGCCGCGTGAGCCAGCACGGTGCCCTGCTGAATGACGGCCGGCCGCGCCCCAGCGTTTAAAACCATGACAAACGGATCCCTGTCTGCCCCAACCAACGTGTGAGCCACCGATAAATCGAGACCTCCAACAGCCCTATTAGAAGGACCCAAAAGCATGGCCTGTTCCGAGGCCTCCTTCCCCCATGGCTTCCGTAACCGGAGGGGAATCAACATTTGTGAACCCGGGGGCACGTGCACGGTCTGTGTTGCTAACGCCTGAATGGTAGCGCACGCCGTCCGAATTACATTAGGGCTCGTCAAAAATGAAATACGGCGACCCGATGGTAGTTCAATGCAACGCTGATCAATGAGAATTTTGATGGGCATTTTCGCCAAAAAATCAGTGCCCAATAGGCAAGGAACCGCCAGGGAAGATGAAACGAAAACGGGTCCCGACAATTTGATATCACCAATGCAAATGGACGCCCTAATCTGACCGATAATGCCCAACGATCCCCCGTTAGCGGCGTAAAATGGCACATCCACCGGAAGAAGCGGACGACATTGTACCGGGAGAATATTATAAATGAGATCCGAAATAATAGTCGCCGATGCCCCCGTGTCCACTAACACCCTGACCTCGACCCCATCAATCGATCCGGTAACGACGGATGAACCCGCTGAGGCAGCCACTATTCTGTGCTCCAATTCCGACCATTTAATGTCTCCCCGGTCCCGGCCGAACCCCCCTCTCCGAACCGAATCCCCGAACTCTACTCGGCTCTCCCTCGTCGCAACGCGACGACCCATACGTGTCGAGTATGCGGGCCAAGCATGTGAGGTGCCGCGACTTGCCGGGGTTTGCAGTGATGACTTGGGGCCTTGGTCGTCGTCCAGCCGAGGTCCCATGGCGCGCTGACGTGGGGCGCGGCAACCGGAGGCCACGTGGCCACGAAGGCCGCAGTTATAGCAGGTGATGACAGTAGTCGGAGATCTCGGTTGCTCCAGCTTGCGGGCCGCTCGCAGAGGCGAACGACCCCCCGACCTCCAGTCCCCCGCTCGTCCCGCGATGAACGCGTCCTCTCGTGGGCTGACGACTTGGGGCACGGTGTCAACCGGACCCGGAGTTGAGGCCACGGCAGCGTTGCAGACGACCCCCTGCTTCCGTTGAAGGACCTCGTGCGCTTGCATGCTCGTGGCGACCCGTAATGAAGAAATATCGGTGTCGTCGGCCGTGTTGATGGGGACCCCCAGGTCCTGCGCCAACTTGAGCAGCTGCTCCAAAACCATCGCATCTTGGCCCTCCTCGTCCATACGAGGGAACGCGGCGTCAGCGAGAGCGAGCAACGCCGTGCGGTAGGCGAGCACGGTCTCCGTGTCCGCCTTCCGTCTTGCGTAGAAATGATGGCGGCACGCCGAGGGAGGACCGTAGACTTTGGCCATGAGAGCCAGCGCATCCTTGAGCGTGGAGCGGTCCGACCTGCGTGCGGACGTGAAGGCCGCGAGCGCGTTGTCGTCCAGCATGGCAGGCAGTGCCCGCAGTGCCGTAGCGTCGGACCAGGCGGACATCTCTTGATGCGCCAAAAATCTGCGCTGAAATTGGCTCCAATCCCCGCCTTCCGCCTTGAATGCTGACAACGTGGGAAGGCGCTGCTGAAAGATAAAGTCGTCCTCCTCCTCGTGCTTCCTCTCTGCCCCCCCGTCGGTGTGTAAGATGGCGGCCCCAGTGGCGGGTGTGTGATGGCGGTCCGCCGCGCGCGTTGGTGACGTCAGCGGCCGCGCATGGAGAACCGCTGCCACGTGGTGATGGCCGTTCCCGCCAAAAGTTGGAGCGGATGAAATGGCGGGAATCGCCAAATCGTTTTGGCGGGAATCTGCAGGGCGACCCTGTAGCACGTCGGCCGCCGTCCCCGCTCCTCCCGACGAGCTGATCTCCGCCAAGATGGACGCGGCGGTGAGCAGCAGCTCCGCCAGACGGGAGTGTGCCTCGCGAAGCACGGTGTCAGTCCCCCGTCGCTCGACCGGCGCCGTCGGTGGATCCTGCCCCGTGGGCAGCTCCTCTTCCTCACCCCCTGATGCCCGCTGGCCCGCGTCGTCGAGGTTGTCCTCGTGGTCAATCCCGTGGGTCCGACGGTTCCTCCTTGTATCCATGCTTGGAGGACCGTTTCACTTCTGACGCCAGTTGAAGTATGGGAATTGACGGCAGGAACTTCTTGACGGGTAACACACTTTTATTAAATCCTTTAGGTATCACAATACAACGTGTGGTCTCTCTTCTTCCTCCGACACACTCCACTAATCTCGTGTAAGCTCTAGGCCTCTGGCTACACCCGATACACTTGACTCGTGTAGACCCTATGCCTCTGGCTACACACAATATACTCGACTCGTGTAAGCCCTATGCCTCTGGCTACACAATACCCTCGACTCGTGTAAGCCCTATGCCTCTGGCTACACAATACACTCGACTCGTGTAAGCCCTATGCCCTAGCTACACATAGTACATTCGGCTCGTGTAGACCTATGGCTACACCCACTACACTCGCCTCTGGGTTACACAGAGTCCCGGTCCCCTTAGGACAGCGGGGCTAGGTACCGCAGGGCTCTAGGTCTTCATCCCCGTCTTCCTTCTTCGCTGGTTACACACTGCTCTTACGCCTGTGTGCATCCCCTTTTATAGCCCCTGCTCACGAGGGACGGAGCTGATGCGGCGTCGACGTGAGCGTCGTTCCTTAATGACCCAATCACGACGCACTCTCTCTACGATCCGCTTTCCCCAGCGCGTGTTAACATTACTCCACCAATCACACTGCGCTGCCACCTGATCACTCCCTCTCAGCGCGTCACCACCTACACAGCCAATCATCACGCACTGTGCATACGATCCTTAATCCCAGCGCGTATCACCTCTACACAGTCATAATTCACAGACGCCGGAGTTCAGTGCCGTTTGGCATTGAAGACGAGCGCATTAATGGATTTAGCCATGCCGTCCTTTCTGGTAGCAAAACGAGGGAACACGCCAGGGAGCACGTCGACTACGGAGATGGAGCGGCGATATCAACCAATGTTGGATCTTTCGTCCTTGAGACAGTGGGAGATGGCGCTGTTGCTTTGCCTTCATCCAGCGGTGGATCGTTCATGCCTGCTGAAGTAAAGTCAACATTGTTTTTGTTTAACGTGCACGTGGTAACTTCCTGCACAAATCTGCTGCTCAAAATAGAGCCTAGAAATAGTGGCCTGTAAATTAAAGGGCATAATGCGGGCTCCCTTGGGCGACTGGCTCGTCACGTTTGTTGTAGCATCTGCTTCACTAGAAAAAATTATACAATAGACTCTCGATTATCTACGTGCGGTTTATCCAATTTGCGGATTAACTGCACACCTGGATTTTCCCTTAAGGTCAAATTAATCTAAAACAATTATAGATTGTTATTCTTGGAAATGTTTATTACAGGTCACGTGCTGAAACCAACTAAATATGTTGCTCTGGTTAATCTGAAATCCATGTGAGATCGCCTCTACAGTACAGGAGTTGCATAACTTTGCAACAGTGCGGTGGAGTTTGATTGATGTTGATTGGTGTGGCTCTGCTATCATCCACTTCGTGGGCCGAGTCTCCTGCTGAGCAGGAGCAGGAAAGTGTTATTATCATCGAACACGCGCATAGATCGGTCGATCATAAGTATTTGTTCTAAATCGAAAGAATAACAATCAAAATCGTCAGTTGCGCTTAAATTTTGCATAATTTTGAGTGATTTATGCGATCATATATTTTATGAGTTTTAATTTATGAAACTTGTGCAATGGCAGAGAAACTTAAACATAATTTACACCTATATGAGTGGCTTTTGGCATAGAAGTCCGAGGAAAATAGATATTTTGGGATTATCCACGATTTCGAATTATCCGCTGGCACCCTCACCGTCATTAGTGCGGATAAGCGAAAGTCTACTGTAGAAGCAAAGTTTGATTTGTGGGTTGCATGAAGGGTCTACAACTCCCTGCCTTGGCTGTGTCACCATCCTCTGCACAGGCGCTCTTCTGCACAAGCAATTGATTCTCAGGAGACGCTCGTTTGCCCCCTCGATACGTTTACCTTCAGCGGCACGGGCTTGTGTTACATCGCCGTGGCGCCTGCGTTCTTCGTTCGTCTAAAGAGAGGGGCAAAGAATCGGCGGAGATGTCGGCGCAGGCTGTGCCCGCGGAGACTCACATGGATCTCCTTGAGGACCATGATGGTGATGTTGTCGGACAACTCTGGTGGGATGAGCTTCAAGGGTCGGTAGAGGCAGCAGATGGTGAACACCATGACATAGAAGACGTAGGAGAACATCCAGACGAGGAAGTAGTTGAAGCCAAAGGAGTTCCACTTGTGGTTGAGCAGGTCCTTCACGGGCCGCAGGTCGATCATACTCTGCACCTGCGACGAAGCGACGTTTTAAACAAAAGATGATTGCACTTTTCACATCTCCGGCACTACAGAAGAAAGCATGCTGTATGTATGTATGTTGAACTTCTTTGGCACCGTATGAAGTCAACCGTGCCAACTTGACACAAAAAAAATCTATTCTAAAGAAATGAGTTTTCAATCTAGATTTTAAAGTGCAAAAAACATGAACTACTGCGGCGACGTCAGTTCTCATCACAGAACGTAGCGTGACGCATCTCCTGGGTAATGGAGGGGGTGGCTCTGGATGACCTCTCCTGGGTAGTGGAGGGGGTCTATAGATGACCTCTACTGGGTAGTGGAGGGGGTCTATGGATGACCTCTACTGGGTAGTGGAGGGGGTCTATGGATGACCTCTCCTGGGTAGTGGAGGGGGTCTATGGATGACCTCTACTGGCTGTTTACGAACCTTCTTCTTAGAGCTGGAGGTGATTATGTCGAGGACTGAGCGCTGGTCTCCCCATGTGTCGATCTCGCGCAGGTCGTACACGGTGTAGGAGATGGTACCCATGGTCCAGTACACCTTTTTCCTTCTCTCCACCAGGTAGCTGAACATCTGCGTCAGTCAAGCGTGCCGGTCAAGCACGCCGGTCGGACGCGGGAAAGTTCACAAGAATCGTGTCAACAAGAGTGGACGGAGAATGTGATGCTACAGAGTCAGTATTTATACAGTAGGAGAATTCCGATGAGCTATGAAGCTCTTTTTTCACAGATGTCTGGTAGGGGCACAAGGTCAGAACTTTACCACAGTACAAAAACACGATAGGAGTGCAAAGTATAGGAAAAGTAAGAAAAACACTAAAGTCAAGCAGCTTCCAATGCCCAATCACACCCGCAGGTCTGGCTCCCACTGTAATTCCTCTCCCTCCACCTCTCTCATAAAAACCTCCGCTCAATTCATGAGACGCGTGTACTGCCTTCTCGTACAACTCTGACCGTGCTGTTTGTTGCCAGCAGTTCGGCGTTCAGGCCCTCTGCTCAGCGACCGTCTTTTTATTTGGATTGTGTTGGCTGCTATAAATGAACCTTATGGCGGTACCCCAGGGTGCTATAGTACCCCGGCTCTCGCATAATGGGCCGTGCATAAATGACGTCGCGATTTTGGCCGATTTGTGACCCCCCCTCCCCACCTCATCACACGGCGTCACAAAAAGTCAGATCCCCCTCAAATATGACGTCACAAAGCTCTGCCCCCCCTCCAAACCATATTTCCATTTTGAAAATAAAACATGCTTCAAATAACTTTTAACTATTGTCATTATAGTGCGTATTTAATGTGGTGCTGCACTCTGATGTTCAAGTTCATTTATTAGGTATAGCCCTGTGAGCCATTTAGCTCTTGAATCGGGTGCAACCGCAACAAACAAAAACATGAACAAGAAAACATCTTAAAGTGAATATATATTTAGCATAAAATTCACTTGAAAATATTCATCGTCTAACTAAAACTGCAGATGTTCAGAATATTATATTGAAATTATCTTATAATTATCAAATATTAAAAAGTAATAACTTTTAAAAAAATACTTGAAACTTTGTAGTAGAACGTAGTTAAATGGAGGGTACAATTATAACAATCACATATTCATTCCACAGAATGTAAAGCCCTGGTAGAATCATTGGAATCAAAATGTTTAATAACAATAATTCAAAAAATGTACAAAATGTATGCTTCTCCATTCTCCCATGGAGAAGCAAAATGCTCCTTCATGGAATAAATAGGGAGATCATGAATCTCTTCATCCTGTGGAATGGATATTCCATTCAGATCAAGCTCTTCTTCGTCTATCCAATCTGCACTCTCTCCATTTTCTTTGTTCGCGATTACAACCGTTAGTTCACGTTGCCGACGTGCAGCGACTCTCTGTGGCCTGATGCGTTTGGGCAGAATAATAACTGACTCCTGCTTGTGTGTTACAGAGTGGTTGCGCAGCATGACGAACGACGCAATGTGTGCCATTTTTTGTAAATCCTATCCCTAAGCACGCATTGTATTGACGGACAGTACAAGTCATATGGAATCGACCAATAAGGATTTGAAGAGCGAGGAAGGATGTCATCCTCTTTCAAACTTTGTGCTGCAAACAGAGATGGGAATTTATGAGATGCTCCGTCTGGTGTCCGTTCAGGAATTTTAAGACCAAATTTCGGCTAGAGTGTTTCCTGCAAACTTAAAATTATTCTTCTCTAAATCAGCATCAGTAAGTGGCCTACTGAGTGGCACTATTTTTCCCTCGACCCTATTAAATGCGCTTCTTCCTGGAGCGTTGGTAGCGAGGAATATAGCGTCGAAATCGTGCTGAAGAAAGTGGTGGACTGCAACCTTCATCACTTTTTGGTATCTCGGGTTCTCGTCCGGGCCACTATCAACTGTCGACACTAAAATTGGTTCGACCAATCGATCAATACCACTCCTTGAAATGACGTCAAACTCCTCGAGAATAAGCAATTTTTCGAAATCAAATCCATGGCTGAATGCTGTTGATGACGAGTGTTTTCCAGATCTGATTGATATGTAGGTCGGTCCCCAATAACCAACAGCTTCTCGATTTCCTGGGCCATTAGACTGAATTTGGATTCCATCATAGACCGAAGGAATTAGCTTGTGTCCTGCGGCCACAACCCAGTCATGGCCAGGCAGACTGACTGTACTCGATGTGCATCCGCAATGAACTTTGCTTGTGTAGGGGTGTTAAAGAGAGGGCCCGTTATGCATGGCAGCCTATGGAAAACAAACACAGTGGGCGGGGCTACGTAAGTGCACGAGGAGGTGCCCTCTACGACGTCCGAGCCAGACACCCTGGGGGGGGCTGGTTCGAACGTTATGATCCCCCGGGGCCCCACCCCTCAGGGAGGGGTTGGGTATAAAAGGGGATGTTTCAAAGGGCTCGGGAGTTATGGTTTAAGCCAAAGGAAGAAGACTGAAGACGTCTTAGATAGAGCCCTGGACTCCCCTAGTTCGATGTCCTTTTCAGGGCCGGACAGGACTGAGCCAGCGGCGTGGTCCCGAAAGCCAGAGCCGGTGCTCTTGTAAGAGCTGGTCTGGAACTCCGGGTACCGGGCCCGACTTACCAGTGTCGGGCCAGGTAGCCTCCCCTAGCCCATTAGTGGAGGACTCGGGGCTAGGACAGAGTTAGCTAGGGGTGTATTCCGAGTTATACGGGTGAGGGGGCCGATACCCCCTCGAGTGTTATATGCCCACTGTCGTATTGTGAAATAAATATACGTGTGCCTCAACCTCGGTGTCAAGCGTCCTCACCGGTACTTCACTTGTTAGCAGCGGTCAACCCTGTTGGAACACGAGCTTTGCTGTCTTGCCTCACAAAGCACACATCGTTCGGTCCTAGTGTAGAGGTGATACGCGCTGGGATTAAGGATCGTATGCACAGTGCGTGATGATTGGCTGTGTAGGTGGTGACGCGCGCTGACGGTGGAGGATCAGGGGTCAGCGCGGGGTCGTGGGTTACGGGGTACCGATTGGCTGTGGGCGGTGACGCGCTGAGAGAGAGTGCGTCGTGATTGGGTCATTAAGGAACGACGCTCACGTCGACGCCGCATCAGCTCCGTCCCTCGTGAGCAGGGGCTATAAAAGGGGATGCACACAGGCGTAAGGGCAGTGTGTAACCAGCGAAGAAGGAAGACGGGGATGAAGACCTAGAGCCCTGCGGTACCTAGCCCCGCTGTCCTAAGGGGACCGGGACTCTGTGTAACCCAGAGGCGAGTGTAGTGGGTGTAGCCATAGGTCTACACGAGCCGAATGTACTATGTGTAGCCAGGGCATAGGGCTTACACGAGTCGAGTGTATTGTGTAGCCAGAGGCATAGGGCTTACACGAGTCGAGTGTATTGTGTAGCCAGAGGCATAGGGCTTACACGAGTCGAGTATATTGTGTGTAGCCAGAGGCATAGGGTCTACACGAGTCAAGTGTATCGGGTGTAGCCAGAGGCCTAGAGCTTACACGAGATTAGTGGAGTGTGTCGGAGGAAGAAGAGAGACCACACGTTGTATTGTGATACCTAAAGGATTTAATAAAAGTGTGTTACCCGTCAAGAAGTTCCTGCCGTCAATTCCCATAATTCAACTGGCGTCAGAAGTGAAACGGTCCTCCAAGCATGGATACAAGGAGGAACCGTCGGACCCACGGGATTGACCACGAGGACAACCTCGACGACGCGGGCCAGCGGGCATCAAGGGGTGAGGAAGAGGAGCTGCCCACGGGGCAGGATCCACCGACGGCGCCGGTCGAGCGACGGGGGACTGACACCGTGCTTCGCGAGGCACACTCCCGTCTGGCGGAGCTGCTGCTCGCCGCCGCGTCCATCTTGGCGGAGATCAGCTCGTCGGGAGGAGCGGGGACGGCGGCCGACGTGCTACAGGATCGCCCTGCAGATTCCCGCCAAAACGATTTGGCGATTCCCGCCATTTCATCCGCTCCAACTTTTGGCGGGAACGGCCATCACCACGTGGCAGCGGTTCTCCATGCGCGGCCGCTGACGTCACCAACGCGCGCGGCGGACCGCCATCACACACCCGCCACTGGGGCCGCCATCTTACACACCGACGGGGGGGCAGAGAGGAAGCACGAGGAGGAGGACGACTTTATCTTTCAGCAGCGCCTTCCCACGTTGTCAGCATTCAAGGCGGAAGGCGGGGATTGGAGCCAATTTCAGCGCAGATTTTTGGCGCATCAAGAGATGTCCGCCTGGTCCGACGCTACGGCACTGCGGGCACTGCCTGCCATGCTGGACGACAACGCGCTCGCGGCCTTCACGTCCGCACGCAGGTCGGACCGCTCCACGCTCAAGGATGCGCTGGCTCTCATGGCCAAAGTCTACGGTCCTCCCTCGGCGTGCCGCCATCATTTCTACGCAAGACGGAAGGCGGACACGGAGACCGTGCTCGCCTACCGCACGGCGTTGCTCGCTCTCGCTGACGCCGCGTTCCCTCGTATGGACGAGGAGGGCCAAGATGCGATGGTTTTGGAGCAGCTGCTCAAGTTGGCGCAGGACCTGGGGGTCCCCATCAACACGGCCGACGACACCGATATTTCTTCATTACGGGTCGCCACGAGCATGCAAGCGCACGAGGTCCTTCAACGAAAGCAGGGGGTCGTCTGCAACGCTGCCGTGGCCTCAACTCCGGGTCCGGTTGACACCGTGCCCCAAGTCGTCAGCCCACGAGAGGACGCGTTCATCGCGGGACGAGCGGGGGACTGGAGGTCGGGGGGTCGTTCGCCTCTGCGAGCGGCCCGCAAGCTGGAGCAACCGAGATCTCCGACTACTGTCATCACCTGCTATAACTGCGGCCTTCGTGGCCACGTGGCCTCCGGTTGCCGCGCCCCACGTCAGCGCGCCATGGGACCTCGGCTGGACGACGACCAAGGCCCCAAGTCATCACTGCAAACCCCGGTGTCTCGGAACTGACTGCTGCCGACCACCGGCGGCCGGATCTTCACGGCGGGGCCGGTCCTTCCAGGCCCGACCCGTGCCGTCTAGAGCTGCCGGAGACACCGGACGGTCGCCAACGTCCCGTTCCATACGACGGACCGGCCAGACG